CAGGGGCTGTGCTATGCACAAGAGCGGATTGCGAGTATAGTTCTTAGTGCTGTCGCTGTTGCTGTTCGTACTGATGACTCGAGTTCGTCGTCGTTTGCGTCGTCGTCGTTATTCATGTCGGTCTTGGTGCAGCAGTTATTAGAGTAGTAGTGTTGGTTCTGGTGGTGCCGGCTGTTGTGCTGTTGCTGCCGTTGGTGCTGTTGTTGCTCTTGCTAGTGCTGGTGGTGGTGGGTGGTGGTGGTGGTGGTGGGGGGTGGTGGGGGTGGTGGCGGTGGTGGCGCTGGCGCTGGCGCTGGCGCTGGCGCTGGCGCTGGCGCTGGTGCTGGCGTTGTTGTTTGTGGTGGCGGTGGCGGTGGCATGGTCGTGGTCGTTGTGGAATACTCTTGTCGGTCTTGCATGCATAGATGGATATAATAATATACTACATACGTTATTTCCAACATCTTCACCATGGGCTCTGGCAGCAGCCTCCCGTTTTTCAGCTTGTTTTGCTTTCCAATCCTGCACTGCAGTAGTTTGAAATTGGACATGCTAAGCCTTTCATTGAGACTGGACAGGCCACCTTGCGGGATCTACGTGCTGATCGTGATGCAAAGAAGGCCCGCGTGTCAAGTCAGGGGTTTCTGTTGACGAAATGACGGCGGCAGCGCGGTGACGATGGCTATAATGGTAATTGGGATGAGGAGGCTGAGGAGGAAGGGTGAGGAGGCAGCAGAGGAGGAGAAGGAGGAGGAGGAGGGTCCAGCAGGACGGCAACGAAGATGTGGACATGCAGGTTGGGCAGGATGAGAAGAAGCAGACAGACATGGGTCGGCGGCAGAGGCAGACATCAAGTCAGCCACCACGAAGAGCACGACCAATCGCATCAGTTCAAAACCACTGACATGAGACGGCCCCAAACCTTGTGCCTGACAGGCAGTGGCCAGGCTAAAGGCTGCTGGCGTGCCCAGGAAGCTCCAGGTGCACTGCTTACTTGCTGTGAGACTCCCGGAAGCATCAGCCGAATGTGAGACGCAGACGCAAGAGGCTGTGGAGTTTTCCGACATGATCACCCGAGTTGCGGAGGCCGGCGAAAGGTTCAATGCCTCGTGAGAGTTTTGCTTGTAGCTAGACGTGCACAAACCAGGGCAAGACGAACAGACGCTCGATTCAGTAGCCAGTAAATTCCAAGAGTACACAGCTGGATGCACATTCAGTTCAGCACTTGAGTTGCATGTCACAGCACTGACATCATATGACATCAGGATCTGAAATTGAACAGACTCCTGACTGCGAGGATGCTTCCGGTCCGGCAAGACGCGCGTCCTTCGCCGTCCTCGTAAGGCTGAGTCTTGGCGAGGCGCGGGGGGATGTTCGATTGTGGCTAGAGGGGCGAGACAAAGTTGATCTGGGGCCTGGGTAGCGGCTCGTGTGGTTTGCTGTTTTGCCACCAGAATGCAACGGAATGTATCTATCCTGATGCAATGCCGTTCCCTGTGACACAGTTCGCAGTCGGCAGTGCTGATTATTTGGCATCCGGTTTTGGAGCTGTTGAGATTGAGCAACAGGCATTAATATAGAGCCGCACAAGACCTGCGAAGCTCCAATCTAGCGTCGCCTGTGGCTGCCAGGGTGTCCAACCTAGCTCTGGCCCTCCTCCACAGCCGTCAACCCCAAACTCAAGTATTCCGAGCCCCGCTTCATCACGCTTCGACTGTCGTTTAAATTCAAATGCAGCCCCAGGACAGCGCGCCCTGCCGCCCTGGTTTTCACTCAGGGCTGTCTCGGGCTGGCAGTTTCGATTTGCATTTGGAGGCAGTGGAAAGCTGAAGAAGCTTCTTATTCTGTCCATGAAGGCACTTGCCGCGCCTCTTATCTTCCTGAAACCCCATCCGAATCCGCCCCCACTGTGATTGAGCCGTCAAGGGCTCGAGACTGCCGGTTTCAAAGCATGCCGTTTCTGATGTGCCAGGTTCCATCACGACGAGTGCGTCCGCGGCACCAGCATCTTCTTCCGAGAAGCTGGGGCACTCAGTTGGGAAGAGAGATTCTTCATGAACTCGGCTGCTTTGTCTTTGAGCGATGAAGAAGCAAGGCTATGTATGGCTTCTGAACCCGTTGCGAAATTTCGGCAGCGACGCAACTCCAAAGGTCTATCCAGACTTATGCGACGAGGTGCCCAGGCACGCCAGCCGGCACAGACGTCGTTGCTTCCGTGGGATCCTTCGACTCTCCAGTGTTAAGCTGCCGGGCCCAAAAAAGCTTGAACGGACAGCGGAGGCAAGTGCAGCTGTTCATCAACGTGTTTGTCGGACTTACTTACCGAGTCTCCGTCCGCAGGCTCTCGGTGGTGATGTCGTCCGAGTTCTTGCCTTTGCAGCCCCGACTTGTGTTAGAGTCTCGCGCGGTTTGATAGCGCTGCACATGGGGACCATACCCTGTTTCGTTGCGATCTACAGGCTTCTTCGTCTCTGTGAATTATTGAATCGTGTCACCGAGCAAAAGTGCTTGTCCACACTGATAGTGCCAGGCTGCGAAAGTCTTGGACTCCAGCAGTGGATTTGAACGGCTTCCTCCCCAAGGAGCTGGGTGCACCAAAACAGCTTCTGCCGATTCGCCGATTACATCGTCACCTGCGCATGCCAGCATACATACCGCAGAGAGACAGAGGCAGAGGTGCGCACTCGCTCAGGGGAGACAGACCGACAGACGGACACACGGACACACGGACAGACGGAGGCACACGAACGGACAACATAGGCAGGTGCATCGTAACCCCATAGACTCATAGACTCCTACAAGCAGAGAGGTGCGGCATGTACACGGCTGACTTTACACTCAACTTGCGTAACTGCATAGCTACACTAGTTCCATACACGTATGCTCCAGGGCTCTAGGGTGTTTATTCCGAACTGGCTCCTTAGAATCCCAAAAGGAGACACCCCAAACACCCACTTACCAAGCATGTTTTCATAGGCAACCCAGTATACAGTTACAAGGACCCAGTTTGACCGCTTGCTTCATCATATACGTACTTACTTGCTTACATACATATCTACATACATATCTGTAGCTGCTCATACATACATGCATGTAGACACAGACTGTCACATACATACCGTCAGATATAGACAATACACAGCATATAGAGCTACGAATGAAATCACGCACACAGGAATCAATGGATCCATACATGTTGATGACAACAGGCATACACACACATTCATTTGAAAATACACACACACACACATCTCCGTCGTGTCTTGGCCTGTGTGGGCTTCACCTCCGCAGGATCTTCGGTGAGCAGCGGGTGTTTCCGCCGTGCCGGATACCCTCCAGCCTGAGCAGTAGCCACGAGAGCCGCTTGAGATCGGTCTTCTGAGCCAAGAGGTCGTTCTCTCGCTGCCAAGGGGCCATTGTCAAATCGCGTGCTTCATCATTGAGTCTGCAAAAGAATCGCAAGGATGCATCTGAATTTCCAAGAAGCTGGGGGTTGCGGATTGAATCGCCTGGGCATCTGGCGCAGGTTGAGGCAGCTGCTCAGCACGGCACTCAGGACATCGGGTCTTGAGCTCGCCTTCCCCACAACACGTCCGTTAACGTAGTTGTCGATGTAGCTGTATCAGCTGAGAAGCAAGTAGTGGCTCAAGGCTGGTGGTTTCTTCATGAAGCAATCCCATCACCCAGGTTTGGCAGCAAGCCTGGACTGGACGAAGTTCCCGAGGCTTCAACGGGGACCATTGTATGCAGGGAACTTGGGCTCTCGGGTTTGAATTTGGGTCTGGGATTTCGAAGAATGCGGCTTTCCAGACTTTCTTCCGGACTTGGCTCTGGCGCATGGGCCGGCAGTACTGTAGTACTGAGTGCAGATTGTCTATATAGGAAAGTGAGGGTGGAGCGGTCAGCTTCCGCATCGGTTGGTCATGGTCTGACATTCTGCCTGTGATCTGGAATCAACCTTGCGCCCTAGCGTGTGACAGACCCCCGTCGCCATGCTTTCGGCCATCTATCGCTGAAGCCTGAGCTGCGATCTTTCCTGCATTCTACCGGCAACGGGCCAGGCAGTGACATCTTGATGCAAATCTTGTTTGCCACTCCTGCAGATTTTCAGAAGCTGTTTTTTATCACCACGAGATTCAGCAGTCGAGCTGGATCCAAGTCAGAGGTCCTGAAGCCCTCATGATGCAGCGCTGCCCGATGCTGAGGAAGAGGGGCATGCCGGCCGACCCCGTTGCAGTGGCCACAAGGCGGCTCGGAGTTTCAGCGAGTCGGGGTGGAGATGTTGGAGCGGATATTGGCACATCGACATCGTGCCTTTTAGGGGGCAGGCGGCTTGTGCGCAAGAGCAGAGACATTGTCTCGGCTGGCTAACCTTGTGCCAGAAAGAGCTGACAAGACTCTCGGTCCGGCTGCAGAGACAGAGATGTACCAGAGGCCGTCCCAATGCCTTCCCCGGCTACGACGGCTACGAGAGAAGGCCCCGGGTCTCGCATATCCTTGCTGTCCCACATTTCGAGTTTTGCGGGCTCATGCCCTCGCCCTGCAACATTCGTGTATCTGTGTTGCTGCTCCGGCACGGTCATTCGACCCCTCTCTGGCTTGGAGGATATATCGCCAAAGCAAGACTAGGAACGGTGGACTTGATTTCTGCGCCCTGCGATTCTGCTTGCATGAGTTTCCCACTGATCCCTCAGCTCTTGCTGAAATTGAACTCGAGACGCAAAAACTTCAGGCCCTACAAGCCCGTTAATGTTGCATTCCGAGCACACAACCCTGCGCCCATACGCCCCAAGTCTGACAAACAGAAATTCCCAACAGCTATGCCCGAAGCATCCCGAAATCTCATGACAAGCTTCCGAAGTTCGAATCCCAGCCTCAGGCGCTCGAAAAGCTGACCAAGATGAGCTGGGCTTGGAGGTACGTGGCAGAGATCACTATGGATCCCTCCCCCCCTCCCTCCCTCCCTCCCTCCCTCCCTCACCATCCTCTGCTGAGCCTTGCAGGATTCAGGTCTTGTGCTCATGGTCGGGCTCGAGAAAGATCTCGCGTATCGCCTTGTTATCTTTCCCTCACCGCATATCCAGCTCGGATACATCATGGCCATGAAAGCTGCAATCATCGTGGCTTTCTTGACGCATTTCCAGGTTTCTGCTGAAACCGTTGCCGGCACAGAAGCCGAAGCATGCCAGTCCGGGAGTATCCAGCAACTCCTGGACTCATCTCACGCCGTGCTGGAGGAGACAGAGGCGGCCCTGGACACCGCACAGACATTGTAGCCCCTTGAGACTTCCGAAAAGGAAGAAGTTTGAGAAGCTGCAGAATTTGCTTGCCGAGTCGAAGATGCAAGTGAGAGAGCCTCCAGAATGCTCTGAATGCCACTCGGAAGGAGCTCTGCTTCTTCTGCCCTTTTTTTCATGCTTGAAGAGTCTTTTCAGCTAGAAGCTCCGTCTCAAACGGCCTCAGCCCTCAACCTGGATGCAGTCATCGCCCGCCTCTTCGAGAAGGGGGGCTAGAAAGCCAAGAAGGCGAAGAGGGCCCCAGGCTGATGAGTACCGGAAGTGCCCGGTGTTCATTGTTCATGGGGAAGACACCCTTGGCCTCCAAGATGGTCCTTGATGCGTGGCAGGTGCACTTCATGCCGCCAGCCCTGAAATATGCAGTTTTTTTTCAGGATATGCATCGCCAGGGGCTTGCGATGCTCAGCGAGGCTTCTTCTTGCTTTTTGTGAGCTCCGATGTTTGGACACCAGACCAGGCACACTGAAATGTTCGACGAGGACTGTGTGACGGTCTTCGGCCGCTTTTTGGAGCACGACCTCCTCAACCAGCAAACGGACACGGGCCCTGTTCAGCAAACAAAGCAGCAGATTCGCGACTACTTCGGCGGGGTCGACCCACTCGTCTGGGCCAAGCCATCGAAGGCATGGAAGACACGTTTTCTCCCAGAGCACGGACATCGCTGACACGATGGAGGCGTGGCTGGACCACATGAACGAGAAAGTGCAGCTGCGGAAAGAGCTTGTGACAGAGGACGGGCACTTGATGGTGCTTTCACAGCACGCATTGACGATGTCGTGTCCTTTTTTCGCCGCTACGGACATGCAGTCAGGGCCCACGGCACGTGAGTTCCTTTCCGGTGAGCGTGGCGCCTTCGCAACTTGGTAGATCCGTTTGCGCGGAGCTGCGGGCACGACTCAGCACAATGAGTGCTAGCAATCGATGAGCCAACCGTCAATGCAGCAGATGCGCAGGTTCAACACATCTGCTCTTCCGAGAAGGTCAAAGCACTGGACATGGGCACCGTGGTGGTCGTCCTGGTGGAGCGAGACGGCTACTCGCAGAGCAGAGCTTGCAGAGGAGTACCGCAAATACCTGACGCTGGTGGGCCCTGGCCTGCAGCCAGAGCCGTCGAAGAAGGTAGATGATGCCTGGCATGCCCACATCCTGAACACTCCACGGGCACGCCGGCAGCGCTCTTCGGCCGCTTCCTCCATCACGAGCCGGCCAACCTTCTCCTAAACCAGCAGCAATCCTCCATGGACAACATGTTCGCCAGTACCAGAATGCAGATTTGCGACTTCTATGGTCGGGTTAACGAGGACGCATGGGCCAAGGAGGATGTGGCACTTTGTGCCCCTTGCAGCTGCAATTCACAAGCTTGTGAGTTGTTGTTGCGAGTTCTTTGGGTTCTCTCCTGTCCAAGTGATGCGGATGAGCGATGCGCATGCGGGTGCAGCTGTGGCTGTGGATCTCACTCTTTCCTGTGCATTTGCCGGACGCTGCCTGCATTTCTGAGGCTTGGCCAGGTACCTGAGAGTCATGCCGCGCCATGACTTTGAAGCTTGGGCACGAAGCCTTCCTTCTTCAAAGTTTCCAAGGCGCTCTGCCCGTCTCACAACGCCAGGCCTGCGAGTTCCTGCTGGCAGCCTTGTTTCGAAGCATTGTTTGCAAGGAGTTTCCGCTGGCAGGAGAAAAGAAGTACTAGCGCTGATTTGCATCCGAATACTCGCCATGCTCAAAACTGACACTTTATGTCTTTCCTATTTGGCGGTTATCGCCTTCCACAGACTCGAGCAAGATTTCGCGTAATCTCGTCTTGTCATCGATCGTTCAATCACCTACGGAGCTACAGCACATCCAGCTCTGATACAGCATTACATCATGGCCATGATAGCTGCATGCGTTGTGGATTGTAGTGGCTTTCTTGACAACGGCTCTCGACTTTTCTGCTGAAGTTGTAGGTCGGTTCAGTGGCCTTGCGGCGGGTGTACCCAGGATTCAAGATTCGCGGTGCTGGACGGCGTCGGCTGTAGGATGAACCCGACATCCACTTTCAGCTCTTGCACTCTTAATTCATAGACTGGCTTTAGCTAAAACATTTTGTGGGTTGAAGTGCAGGATGTGGTCCGAAATGGGGGCTTGCATGTCAAGCCTGAGCTGGTAGGAAGAGCCCTGCGAAGTGGTAGTAGCCGTAGTAGTGTCTGTGTTTCTCTTGATTCGCGAGGTACTGGTTTCCACAGCTCCTTGATGGCAATGGCCTGCTGAAGTGATGTTGCAAGAGAGTTGGCACATCAGCTCTTGCCACTGTGCAGATCAGAGAGCGTATACCTAGTGAACTTCCGGTGCCATTTGGCAGTGACAGCCGTGACAGCCTGTAGAACTGAGCCAGCAACACACTCGGTGCTTTTCAAAACATGTCGCCCTTCTGGGTTCTTGCAGCCTTGAGCCATTTGCTCGGAGTCCAGGGACAGAGCCTGCGCGGGACTTTGCACAAGTCTGCGGCTGATCCGGAAGAGACCGCCACAGTCTTCGACCCGGCAAATGAGTCGTGGGCCGTGCAGAACCTGATCTCTTGCCGCTATGGCGTGATCTGCCACGGCACGGAGGTTTGGAGGGATGGCAAGCGCACATGTGAGGGCACACTTGCATGCCAGACAGAAGGTGCTGAAGATGCAAGCTCGGGAGGGGGCAATGGTGCATCGGAGATGAAAGACGGTGCCAACACCACGACTGCAGTTGCAAACCTTTTGGTGTGCCGCTACGGCTCTTACTGTCGAGGTGGCTGGTGGTACCACTATGGGCGCAGGGAGTGCAGGGGCGGAATCGTTTGTCGACATGGCCCATACTATGCCAGCTCTGAAACCAGTGATGCTGCGCTGCTCAGCAAAGATTCCGAGGCCGGTGACGGTCAAGACAGTGCCATGGCGGTACTGAGTCCTGTGGAGCCCACGTATGATCCCGTGAACGAGTCGCATGGCTTCAGCAACTTGATTTCATGCCGCTTCGGAGTTGTTTGCCGCGGCACGTGGTTGTGGATCAACGGCGTCCGCAAGTGCAGCGGAGCTCTTGTGTGCAAGTCCGGTTTCAAGGAGGTCATGAACGTTGGTTCGGAGGTCGATGCCTCCGACACCGGATCAAACTTCACCACAATGATGCAGGACAGCAGCAACACCACGACTGCAGTTGCAAACCTTTTGGTGTGCCGCTACGGCTCTTACTGTCGAGGTGGCTGGTGGTACCACTATGGGCGCAGGGAGTGCAGGGGCGGAATCGTTTGTCGACATGGCCCATACTATGCCAGCTCTGAAACCAGTGATTCTGCGCTGCTCAGCAAAGATTCCGAGGCCGGTGACGGTCAAGACAGTGCCATGGCGGTACTGAGTCCTGTGGAGCCCACGTATGATCCCGTGAACGAATCGCATGGCTTCAGCAACTTGATTTCATGCCGCTTCGGAGTTGTTTGCCGCGGCACGTGGTTGTGGATCAACGGCGTCCGCAAGTGCAGCGGAGCTCTTGTGTGCAAGTCCGGTTTCAAGGAGGTCATGAACGTTGGTTCAGAGGTCGATGCCTCCGACACCGGATCAAACTTCACCACAATGATGCAGGACAGCAGCAACACCACGACTGCAGTTGCAAACCTTTTGATGTGCCGCTACGGGTCTTACTGTCGAGGTGGCTGGTGGTACCACTATGGGCACAGGGAGTGCAGGGGCGGAATCGTTTGTCGACATGGCCCATACTATGCCAGCTCTGAAACCAGTGATTCTGCGCTGCTCAGCAAAGATTCCGAGGCCGGTGAGGGTCAAGACAGTGCCATGGCGGTACTGAGTCCTGTGGAGCCCACGTATGATCCCGTGAACGAGTCGCATGGCTTCAGCAACTTGATTTCATGCCGCTTCGGAGTTGTTTGCCGCGGCACGTGGTTGTGGATCAACGGCGTCCGCAAGTGCAGCGGAGCTCTTGTGTGCAAGTCCGGTTTCAAGGAGGTCATGAACGTTGGTTCGGAGGTCGATGCCTCCGACACCGGATCAAACTTCACCACAATGATGCAGGACAGCAGCAACACCACGACTGCAGTTGCAAACCTTTTGGTGTGCCGCTACGGCTCTTACTGTCGAGGTGGCTGGTGGTACCACTATGGGCGCAGGGAGTGCAGGGGCGGAATCGTTTGTCGACATGGCCCATACTATGCCAGCTCTGAAACCAGTGATTCTGCGCTGCTCAGCAAAGATTCCGAGGCCGGTGACGGTCAAGACAGTGCCATGGCGGTACTGAGTCCTGTGGAGCCCACGTATGATCCCGTGAACGAATCGCATGGCTTCAGCAACTTGATTTCATGCCGCTTCGGAGTTGTTTGCCGCGGCACGTGGTTGTGGATCGACGGCGTCCGCAAGTGCAGCGGAGCTCTTCTGTGCAAGTCCGGTTTCAAGGAGGTCATGAACGTTGGTTCAGAGGTCGATGCCTCCGACACCGGATCAAACTTCACCACAATGATGCAGGACAGCAGCAACACCACGACTGCAGTTGCAAACTTTTTGATGTGCCGCTACGGGTCTTACTGTCGAGGTCGCTGGTGGTACCACTATGGGCACAGGGAGTGCAGGGGCGGAATCGTTTGTCGACATGGCCCATACTATGCCAGCTCTGAAACCAGTGATTCTGCGCTGCTCAGCAAAGATTCCGAGGCCGGTGACGGTCAAGACAGTGCCATGGCGGTACTGAGTCCTGTGGAGCCCACGTATGATCCCGTGAACGAGTCGCATGGCTTGAGCAACTTGATTTCATGCCGCTTCGGAGTTGTTTGCCGCGGCACGTGGTTGTGGATCAACGGCGTCCGCAAGTGCAGCGGAGCTCTTGTGTGCAAGTCCGGTTTCAAGGAGGTCATGAACGTTGGTTCAGAGGTCGATGCCTCCGACACCGGATCAAACTTCACCACAATGATGCAGGACAGCAGCAACACCACGACTGCAGTTGCAAACCTTTTGGTGTGCCGCTACGGCTCTTACTGTCGAGGTGGCTGGTGGTACCACTATGGGCGCAGGGAGTGCAGGGGCGGAATCGTTTGCCGACATGGCCCATACTATGCCAGCTCTGAAACCAGTGATTCTGCGCTGCTCAGCAAAGATTCCGAGGCCGGTGACGGTCAAGACAGTGCCATGGCGGTACTGAGTCCTGTGGAGCCCACGTATGATCCCGTGAACGAGTCGCATGGCTTCAGCAACTTGATTTCATGCCGCTTCGGAGTTGTTTGCCGCGGCACGTGGTTGTGGATCGACGGCGTCCGCAAGTGCAGCGGAGCTCTTGTGTGCAAGTCCGGTTTCAAGGAGGTCATGAACGTTGGTTCAGAGGTCGATGCCTCCGGCACTGGATCAAACTTCACCACAATGATGCAGGACAGCAGCAACACCACGACTGCAGTTGCAAACCTTTTGGTGTGCCGCTACGGGTCTTACTGTCGAGGTGGCTGGTGGTACCACTATGGGCGCAGGGAGTGCAGGGGCGGAATCGTTTGTCGACATGGCCCATACTATGCCAGCTCTGAAACCAGTGATGCTGCGCTGCTCAGCAAAGATTCCGAGGCCGGTGACGGTCAAGACAGTGCCATGGCGGTACTGAGTCCTGTGGAGCCCACGTATGATCCCGTGAACGAGTCGCATGGCTTCAGCAACTTGATTTCATGCCGCTTCGGAGTTGTTTGCCGCGGCACGTGGTTGTGGATCAACGGCGTCCGCAAGTGCAGCGGAGCTCTTGTGTGCAAGTCCGGTTTCAAGGAGGTCATGAACGTTGGTTCAGAGGTCGATGCCTCCGGCACTGGATCAAACTTCACCACAATGATGCAGGACAGCAGCAACACCACGACTGCAGTTGCAAACCTTTTGGTGTGCCGCTACGGCTCTTACTGTCGAGGTGGCTGGTGGTACCACTATGGGCGCAGGGAGTGCAGGGGCGGAATCGTTTGTCGACATGGCCCATACTATGCCAGCGCTGAGGAAAGCCGCCCCCTGAGCAGGGCAGCTCCACTTCTAAGTCCGGGCTCCGTCCGGCGATAGATCGCATGCATTGCTTCCTTTGTTTTGCGTAAGGTCACTTTTGCGGGTCGTCACGGCATAAGGCCGTGACGCGATGAATGCAAACCAGGTCTCCTTACTCTGTACAGCAAGGATTTTCGGCCTGGCGCAGCTTCGCAAAGATGGTCAGTTATGAGTTATGACAGTTATGAACATTTGACGAGGCGCTGCCACAGGCAGCCTCGACGGCGCAGCGAATGTCAGCTCCGACCCCGATGTCACCGTATAGTCCAGCCCCGCCCGTTCCCACGGACTGGCTTGTGCCCGTGGGAATCGGCGTAGGGCATCAAGGGAAGGACCGGAGCTGTGTGAGCTGACCTAAGGTCGCTAAGCCTGTAAAGATCTACTTGATGTTTCGCTCACTGTTCCGGCGTGACGAGCATCAGCTTGAAAAAGCCAGCATCGGTATCCGCCGCATCCGTTGCATGAGCTGGGCAGGTACGTGCACCATCTATGAGTCTGAGAATTGTCATAGCAATTTGGTTGGCTGTTGCAGTAGCTGCAACCCTTCCAGCGGCACTTGCACTAGTGCTGCTAGTGACATGTTAGTATAACGTATAACGGCCTGTTCTCGTCATCATCGTCGCCGCGGTGTGGTGGTGGGAGGAGGGGAAGGAGCAGTAGCAGCACCAACGGCAGCAACTGTCCTGTTGCTGCTCATGCTGCTGGTACGACTCTGCAGACAAGTAACGCGTAGCGGAACAACAGGCGGACAATAGCAGTAGCATCCAGTAACTTCTTGTGCTTGTGGCTGCGCTGCCCGAAACCCCGGCCTTGTCTCACAATGAGGGTGGGCCTAATTTTAGATGTCGGGCAGCTACAACTACTGAAGCCGTAGTTCTAAAACCACGAGCTTTTTGTCCGAGGTGTCATCGACGACCCAGCGGGGCAAATTACTTGCTCCGAGTTTCACCTGGCCTTCTGAAGGTTGGCAAGTTCAGGGTCTATCACGGGCTTTGAATTTTCATGTCATGCCAGCAGTAGAGCATATAGTTGCTTGGATCAGACCGCACAAGCCTCAACTCAGATTACCGGAGGAGATGCTCAGCAACCTTGAAGCAAAAATGCCCTGACTCCGCGCGACCAGCGCGCTCTCAGTCGCAGGGCCTCTGCGCCGAACACGACCACCCAGTTTAGCTGATCAAAATCATCCCACTTGTATGCAACTGTGTCGGAGAAACGTGTTGGTCGGCAAGGCCCCTGCGTTTGAATAGCAGCTCATCTCGCCGCCGGGGGATTTGGGCCGTTTGAGCTTGATTGTTCAGAGCCCGGGGCTTAAGGGCTGCCGTTTAGAAAGATGCACCGGGCAACCCGAAGCCCGAACTGCCCCAAAGCCGAGGGTCAGCGCCTCTAAGCGGACGCTTCCGTGCCCGGTGGCGGCTGGATGCTAAGAAGGCATCCAGAGCCACAAGGCCGCTTCGAGTTAAAAAGCAGGAGTTTCAAGGTGGAAGCTCCTGAGAATGCTGGAAGGCATCGGAGAGGCCCCGCTTCGATCCTACATCCATGAGAATGTTGAAGGTTTATTTGTCCATGCATGTAAGCTGCATGCAGCAAGTCTCTGAGTGCAGAAGGATTTCGCTTATAGTCTTATAGTGTGTATACATATATGCAATTAAATGCCCACGTAGAACAAATATGAGCTACAGGCGTTTCTCTCCGTACATAGGATTTGTCTGTAGGCCTACCCGGGCATCTGGATGTTAACGTTTACATTGCAGAACGATAAGGCGCCTGCCCAGAAGCGATAACCCTGGGATCACATCAAGAGGAGCGTGTGCATCACGAAAGGTCATATTCTGCAAATTTTGCAGCTTGTTCAAATTGTGTCTAAATCGATAACGAAGCGATAACCCGCCAGATTGGTTTGGTAGTCATATCCACCACATGCCCACATGGCTGGTTTTATGCGGAGATCTTCCAACTCCTACGCAAGCAAGCGACTTGAAGCCCCAAGCCCTACACCCGAGCCTTTCTGCAGTCGGTGAGACACAAGTCAAAAACTACCTTACGTAACCTTTTAGCCTCGACTCTGTTGCTTCGGGCCCAATATGCCTATCAGATCGCTTTCAGATAGATAGCTGGAACTCCTGCAGAACGATAAGGTGCCCGCCCAAAAGCGATAACCCCATATAAAGGTTGGGAAGGCGGTCTCATAGGTTTTGCCGCTGGCTCATATAGCCCGATATCACATAATGGAATAACATAACATTAACATGAAAAGTTGCTTTAAGATAAAGTGCACAGTGATACGATATATGTAATGCACGACGTGTAGAAGAAATGTAGTCCGATATCACGTAATGGAATATTATAACATCAACATGAATAGTTGTTATAAGATAAAGTGCACAGCGATACGATATATTGTAATGCACTGTAAAGTTCTTTGAATATGTGGAGGGCGGCCGGACCGTTGATACATAGATACACATACATTTGGCAGGTTGTCGGTTTGGCGTATAGTCAACTACTTAAATCAAAAGGGCATCAGCGTCCGTGACTGAAAGATGCACATAGCCCGGTTGGGCTTTGGACTAGGGGCAAGGGTGCATCAAGCATTGAAGACGAGGTTCTGCGATTGCAGGGGTGGCCCTGCAGCCTTGAGCCAGTGTTAGAAGTTGAGAAATGTACCGGCGGTGAGGGGAGGATTGCATCACAGTAGCCGCTCGATACTGCTCGCAGAGGGAGTTGCTTCACACTCATATACTGTTGGTCTCTTTGCACTTTGACCTCCGCGCCGGCTCGGCTGAAAGCCTCCGTTTCGACTCCTTGCCAACGTGCTGCCCCTCTCCTGGGCCGAGGCTTACTGTACAGTGCGGGCTTGATAGGTTCCGGTAAAGGCTGGGTGAAGGCATCGAAGTCGTAGTGAATCATTGTGGGGATTGAGCTTTGACTTAGCGCCTTCCAGATTCGGGAGCCGTTGAGGGTCTCTGCTGCCAGCATTAAGATTTTCGACACGTGCCAAGAAAGCACCGATCCTGCTCCAGGCACTTCCACCAACGGAAGGTAGCCCATGGTGCAAGAGTCATCATTTCCTGAACGTGGTCCTTGGACCCCTTGGGCCCCTCAACAGGTTGATTGTCTTGCCCCGAAGGCTACTGGTAGGGAGATTTCTGGAGAGAGGCTCTTTCAAGAAGGCACAACCGCGGGGGGGCCGCAAACTGGCAGCAGCAGCTCAAAGCTACATGGTGCTTCGCCTCAACAGGCTTCTCGAGAAGATGTCGATGTCTTTGGCACCGCATCCTGTAGGCATCAAGGTGCGCCCTGTCTTGCGTTCGTTCTTGCAAAGCTTCCAGCTCCGTCCGCCATACCACCTTATTTTAATTCAGATTTCGGATACCTGCATCGTGTTTCTGATGCCACGGTGTAGAGGGCTTCGCAGCTGCAAGCACATCCAGGATCATCCAGGAGATTCGGCTGCCAGCAGGAATGCCACAGACTGTTGTGAAACCTTTCCGACGCATCGTCTTCTTACATACAGAAGCTCCAAACCAAGCAGAACACTTTCCGCGAAACCGCGGAAAGGTCCCTTGAAGGAAGGGATCACAAGCCCGATGACCTCAACTCAAAGCCTCCACAGCGTTTGCGCCCCTGCCAGTTCTGGACATCCATCTGGAGGGCCAACAAGGACCGAGCGCAAAATCTGTTAGAATGTGTCTTCATGCATTCGAGATGTGTAGTGGGCTACGACTGCTATGACGTTCCGGTTGAGTACCCTATGCCACTCGGCCTTGCATACGGAGCAGCCAGGCTTTTTCCTTTAATGTATGTATGCGTGTATCTACATAATATATATATATATATATATATATATATACACATACATACATACATATACGTACTTTACACACTGGTATACAAACACACACATACATATATATATATATATATATATATATATATACATACTGTTTTATGTGTATTTGTACCTACTGTTATATGTTTACAGTAGTTTATACTCCCATATGTATGCATGTCTGTACATATGTCGGTACGTAAGCAGCTCTCATATGCTCGGAACGTGGTTTCGCAGCTAGGAGCTCGTTTCCGCTTGCGAGGACCTTCCGTACCCCGAAATCCACGCCAAATTCCAGAATTGGTATGGGCACGCGTTCCACCGCCAGTTCGGCAGGTGCGTCACGGATGGTAGGGGGCAGATTTATATCTAATTTGATACTGCGATCTCATCACATCAAGGTAGCTGTTCAAGATTCTTGCATCGCAACATGCAGGTCCAGGAAGCAACATGCGGTGTGATCTGCTGGCCAGAGCTCGGAGCTACTTTCCGATATCATGATTAGTATTGCCACGATGGGAATGATGGTCTGCGTAGAAATAAGTATATAAAGACGTATAAATTGTACAAACCTCTTTGCTTCTCTCTCTCTCTCTATATATATATATAATTATATATATATACACACTCATATGTATGAATGGTTGGGACCTCTGCCTTACCAGCAACTTGCGCGGCTGTCGGCCACCCGAGCAGGGACGTGATGGATACCTCGCGAGCTCTAGGGAGGCAGTAAACTCGAGTTTGTCTCCTTGGCGCAACCGGAGTTTCAGAATGCACGATGACCACGTGTTATACACTACACTCTGAACAGCGGCATCCTTTGAACGATAAGGACACCCAAAGAAGGGACTGCTGAGTTTGCGAAGTGCCGTGGTCCCTGGCGAGAAGCCAAGCAGCGAGGTACTTCTATGCCCACCGCGCCGGCAAGATGGGGGCATGGGCGCCCTTGGTGATGTTCGGCGTGGGCTTCAAGATCGTCACGATGTGCCCCCGGGTTCGTGCTCGCCTCTGCCAGAACAGCTGCTATGTTTTCGGGGAGAACAACAGTGACGTGTTCTGCAGGTACTACGGAACCTTGCGGGACACCAACGCTGCAAGCGATGCTGCCCTTGCAGGGCACTCAGTACATAATTCCTTGTTGACTAGAACCCATAAACCCATAGATGACTGAAAAACGGGCCATGTGCATCTGTCAGCCAACCCGAAGGTTGCATGCATGGCAACAGAGACCTCACCAACACGTATAGTCAATCTTCATGCGCGGTTTGCTTTTCTCGACCTTTTTCACCCTGATCGCTCTACTCCATTCTCTGTCTGTCAGCAGTAGCTGCTCAAATTTTCCGGACATGGAGTCGCACAATCTGAGCACCGAGCGTCCCGGTTGTGCTGCTGAGGCATACGGCCAGAGTGGCTACAAGACGAACCCGGTGCCAAAGTGACGAGAGGGCGGTGGCAGCAACCCTTCCCCACTACATAAGACATAAGGGGCGATGGACGCCAGAACAGATTCAGCAGCTTGAAGAAATCCAGCAAAGCACCAAACCCAGCAAAGCCCCCTCTTTCAAGAGCTTACCCCACGAAATGTACTCGACAGACATGCGCCTTCTCGCCGGTAGTTCACATCAAGGGAATTTCACACCTCGACAGTGGCAAGCGCAAGCCCCTGAAGATGATTTTTTTCACTCGGGCAGTGCGATGGTTATGTATGGTACAAATCTTGGACGTCGGTTTTGGATGCAGCTGCAAAAAGCTAGGCACTGCCGAAGTCAGCTGCGACCCTGGGCCAGTTAAACGACATTGTCGCTAATGTGATTGCCGACCTTGCGATGGCTCCTGCTTGCTTCGGAGAGGTGAGAGTGTGAAGGTCCTTTTTTTTCAGGGTTGCAGGTTGAGCATGGGCGTGACACGATGCCTTCACGAAGCGTTGGAGCAAGAAGCGGGTGGGGACATTTTGTCTGTGCCTGCGACACAGACATGCCCGGGGCCTATTTTGCACTGTCGGCTTGAGCCCATACTGGCAGGAGAAAGCTACACTACATACATAATTTTATCACCGGCCTTTCTCGCTGCTTAGCTCTGTCACTGTCAGGTCCTCCGGGATGTTTCCCACGCCGGGCCCGGGCGTCCATGGCGGCCCGCCGAGGAGTTTTTCGTGTGCCCGTGGGCGCATCCGGGGGGGGTCTTGATTTTTTAGCCAAGGCTCGAAACCAGGCTGAAAGGAACTGCAGAGCCGCCAGAGAGCTAGTCCACTTGTCCAGGACCGGCATGGTGATGTGGCAGGCCTGGGCCGCAAGATGACAGCAGAGTCACCGGCTCTTAGGGATGTGTGAAATGTGATGCCTGTCATCTCACGAGCCTTCTAACTGGGCATTTGACATGGATGGTATACTACTGGGTTGTTTTTTGGGATCTTTGTTAATTTCCCCTACTATATCGTAGAGAACCACAATAGTAAACAATTTCCAAAGGGCTTAATGGACAACTCAGACTAGTCCCGATCTCTACAACAGGAAGGGTTACTTACCGATTGCGCCCCTGACCTCGCGACATCGAAGCCCTTTGGCTGCTTCCGCCAGCCTCAGCCGGGAGTTCGCCTGGTGAAGATGAATCTGCAGGGAGAGCAGGCACGAACGCTGTGGGTTTCATGACATCTTCATTGGTTATGAATACTGCTACTTTTTCTGGAAACACAATGTCCGTGTTTTTTTCAATTGTTTCTTCTCTTGACCGCAATAATACTAGCATACCTATCCCGAAAAGCCCTGTGCACCATAGTTGTTCGGACTCGCCGAATATGTCTTGTGGCCGCAGGCGCCCTACCCCACAGGCAGCGCCGGTAGCACACTGTGCGCCTTGGAGGACATCCTCAGCTATCCTTACTGGTGTGCCTTTGTTGCTTTAGTAGGCTGGGTATTAACCACGAGGTATATGTCAGTGTTAGTAGCTGTTAGTATCAACCGCAGCAGTCATTGTGAAGGGGTCCATCGCCCTTCACGTTGTAGGAGCAGCTGCATGAATAGCTGCCACAGCAGGACACAAAGTCCGCGATCACAAAGGCCTGATGCAAAGACAGCTCTTGCATCTTTGAATTCGGGTGTAAACCACATTCCTCATTACATTCCACGTCCGCGCAGTCCGTTCGTTGCGCCTGGCTGTGGCAGGGCTTAGGTTTGCAGGTCAGAGCACAAAGCTGCATGCTTCGTCCCCAACAGCTCCGTGAAAGCAAAATGGGTGAAAGCGCAGATGAAGACTTCAAATGGAACGCACTGGTGTACTTGGACGGCAGCTTGCCAGGAAAGCAAAAGGCAGCGTTCTCTTCCAACCGAGCGTCCGGATTGAACAGGACTTCTCCCCAACCTGTTGTCAACCGCATGTCAGATGAAATGCAAGCACGGCGCAACTGTGGCCAAGTGGAACATCACATCAATCATAATTACCTTGCCATCGTGGCAGCATTGTTCATCAAAGCCATATGGGAGTTTCCGAAAATGGGGCACCCCAGTATAGCACCCTAAAACGTAAGATCGTTATTATAAGGACCCCAAAGTAAGGTGCACCTAATTTTCGGAATTTCGCATATCGACTCAAAGTCGTAGGCAAGCCTTGCCTTGGGCTCTGGATTTCCTCGCATTGAGGCGGAGATGGAGATCAAGCCCGGGACAGCCTGTCAGGTGCTGGCAGGGTCCAGGGCCCAGTGGGCTGCTGTGTTTGATGCTAGGATCACTTCTGTTCCTAGGTGGTATCAGATGGTGCGACGTCATGAGTCATGAAGAAACTTCTAGCCAAAAGAGATTCTTGTCGCACACCACTGGCGGTCGCAAGACTGAGGTTTTGTCATTCTAGGGCTGCTCTCATTGTCATGTATACTGTAACTTTAGTTGCAGTTGTGGCGTACTGCTTTTATATTTATTGTTGGACGTGTTGGTGTGGTTGTCTTTGTTTGTCACTACAGGGGCAGACTGTAGCACTGCGAAAGTTACGGTTACTTTTCAAACAGCAATAACCAGTAGAATGGTCGTACTGTATCAGTCATCGTCGTGTTCTCTCGTCACAGTGTAACCTACCACTGTGTTCTGCTTGTCCCACGCTCCAGAGCTTGCAATTCCTCAGGCCCAATGGCAACGTGAGCCCGTGGTAATGATGATGATGATGAGGAAGACGAAGGTCATGACGTTCACGTCTCACTTAGTGGTACCGTTTGTGTGGTGATATGATGTTTGATGTGATGTTTATGTTACTACTGTGAATGTTTAAACAGCCACCTCCACGTCTATCCGCCCAGATGCCTCGCGCCCCCAAACAATGCAGACTCGTCCGCATGTCCGCACCTTCCCCACGGTACTCATATTTAGACTCGATAGATATAAGCAACCATAAGTACTTCCGGACTTTACAACCGGCAGTACTTTCACGAATCGGCTTCTCTTCTGCGTATCTCCAAGGCCACAGAGCAGGCCGCGGTGCAAGGGGGCAGGGTTGCGGGGTGCCTTGTCGGGAAGTTCGAAGGTGTCACGAAATTGTGGTTGAGCGATGCTGCTGTCGCTCGGGTTGGAAGTCAGGGAGTCGAAGCCAGGAGGGTCATTCAAGCGAGCTGGTACTCGTATATCTACAGATATCGGAGCTCATGTTCGGCCAGTATCCATTCCGCGCTTTGCTGTTGGATGGCTCACTTTCGTGAGTTTGGGGTGTGGGGGGGGCGACGGCCCAGCATAAACTCGTGAATTTGGGTGGGGTGGCAGAGGGTTCAGCGCGAATTCGTCAATGTTGGTGGAGTGTTTGTTAGGGTGGCGGGCATCTCCGCATTCCATCATGGCTTCGTCCTGAAGAGCGAGCTTGACTCCCAGTCCGACCCAGTCCAGCATATGGGCCGCAACCAAGAAGTATGAACTGTGATTCATGTTCTCTTCGTGACGGATTGCTCTTCCAGATCATGCCGAGGAAAAGTCGAGCCCGTTTCGCTGCTCTGTATGCTTGAACCCTTGCGGCCCTGATGGTGGAGGTATATACGGAGGTAGGTAACGTCTACATGAGCCCCAGGTCTAAGTCTAGCATGTCTGGATAAGCTTAGTTCTGCTATGGTCTATCTTCATGCCGGCTATTCCTTGTCAAAACAGGCCTGATGACTTCTCCAACTTCCTCGCGTGGTTTTATTATTGGCTTGCTATTCTTGCATTAGCACTTGTATGGTCGTCTCGTCCTGCCAGGAGATAGGGCTGAACCCCGTGTACGACCTCGGCGAGCGACGAAAGAATGAAGCAGAAGCTCTGCGCTCGTCATAGCATCAGAGAACTTCATCCGGCCACGGTCGGAATAGTGGGTCACATGTACTCTCGAAGACGACGGTTTCAGCAGCTCGGGTTACACGTGTTAACGGGTACACCGCTTGGATGGCACACACACAGAGACGGGACGCCTTCAGGGATTAGTGCAAATTGTATGTAGGTTGGGCTTGCATCTTCAATGGCAGACCGCAAGCACTGCGAAGGGCATCGAAAAAAAGGGGCACATCACGTTTCTTCGATTTCGTGCTGGGCAACATTCAGGATACGTTTTGCGATGCATGTAACAGCCCTACGCATTGCAGGCATGGCAGCTGCACGATTGCGAGTGTTGGGCGAAAGTGGCCTGTCCAGAGCGTACCTGTTTGTGCTCCTTGAATACCGCTGCATTTTGCCCCCCAAAAGGTAGGAACTTTCATGTCGGGACTCCTGGCACAGGGCCTTGCACTAGGCCCACACATTGCCATACAGGCCACCTCTACCCAACCACGAGTAACCCAGGCGTAACCAGCAGCGGACCCTGTGCCACGAGCAGAGAGGGGCAGAATCGTGCCCCACTGCTGCGGGAGCGCTGAATACCAGCGATCGTCCGTGGCTCTCGACCGCTGTTCGGGATTGACCTGTCAAACACGCGAAGCTGACAACGCGCTTCCACCCTGAACCAGCCGCACTCTCAAGCCAGACCCTCGCACCCTTTAACTTTAACCCGACTCAGCCACTCCACTCTTTGCTTCTCTCGGTGCTTCTTGGGCCTTTTCCATTCTGCCGGATGTGGTGCGGCGGGCGATGGGTCCATGGCGACTGCTGCGTTGACCTCAGGCTTCTACGGTGCGAAAGGTACCGGGGTCTGAGTGTACGAGAGAGTCTACAAACCACGAATGCCTAGATGAGCCTCACATCTTAGTTATAAACCAAACTCGCAAGATGCACCTGCCCATTGATCCTGTTATTTCATGTCTGCTACAACCGACATCTCATCATGTCATGTGGGCGACCTAAAGTTCGCGTTTGAAGCCGAGGTTTCCGTGCCTGTCCAAGCGCAGAAAGGAGAAGGCCTGGCTAACCAGGATCTTGGTGTTATAGTCCATCAGAACATATCAGAACCTACTATTCTGTTCCATTGTACATCTTGCACTGCGCAATGCTATATTACAATATATTGCAACGCCGCGCAGCCACAAAACGTCTGAAGGTTGCAGACCTCGACTTTCACGGCGTTACCAGTGAAGAACTCAGTCCTGCAGCGTGAGCCGTTCAAAACATGATGATCGCATGTATGCTGGAGGGTGCAATTTGATGCCCTCGTGCAGTCTTGCGCCAACGAGTCTCGTGGGTTTAATTTACTGACGGACAGGTAAGGGGTCCCACGGTGCAACGGCCCCTTACGGAATCCGATGTGAGCTTTCCGGGCTACTGAGTAATCGGATACCTTATTGGCTTCTTTGTTACCAGACTTACTTGGTTATAGACGAAAGGCCCCCAGCCCCCAGGCCTTTCTGGCAGGGGCGCACTAGTGGGCTCGGACCGACAGCTTGGATATACCGGTGATCATGTAGTACTTGCAGCTACTCAAAAGCCAACGGAGAGTTTGTGATTATCATTAATTTCTTGTCGTTATTCTCAATTGTTAGAAAGCTACAGAAAAAAGAGCTAAGAGAAGCATAGTAGTGTGGGTACGAGCTCATCTGCAATCGAAAGTCTACCCTTGCCCCTACCCCCAACCAGGATCGCAACGTCTGGAGAACCCTAAGCTCCGAGCATGGTGTCTAGTTTTGCCACATTGGAAATGCTGCTGTTTGCCGATTTTGCTCTGACCGCATGATGACACTATGGATCTGAGATTCCGTGGGTGTCGATGATTGGGCTTCTGATGACTTGAGGATCAAGGCATGGTTCTGGATCGTATCATCCTCTCGCGGAAGACCTGCAGCCCAACACCTCGAGTCTAACACTCTTTCGCCGGTCTCTGAACGCCCAGAAACCTTGCGCATCCCACGCATCTCTGGGTGGCTCTGAGGCATAGAACCCGCATCGCCAGCCCAGAACAAGCCAGCGCCGAAGCCTCAGAGATGTGGAAGAGGACGTCTTGGCTTTGAGCTCAGTTGAGACTCAGTATTTGCTTTCCTTTGGTGCCACCCACCAACTCCTCTATCCAATCACCCTGACGAAGACTGGTGGTTCTAGCAATACTACCAACTGATTCCGCCAATAACGCATGCCCGAAGCCAGATGACAATAATTAGACGGACGCTAAGTAGTTGTAGATAAGCATTAGTGTCATCGCATGCCAAAGCACTCCAGTTACAGGCTCAATCATGTTCATCATCACCACGCGCTGGCATCAACATTTTCAAAGTACGGCGAGCATATCAATCAACAGTGGTCATCGCCATTAGCTACCATTTTCACCATCATCCAAAACCGTCTCCTTGATGCCGATGATCAAGCAACTTGCATCAAGACCCATTCTACGACCGGGTCGTGCCCATTGTGCAGGTACGGTGAGTTCGTTGATGGTGGTATTTCCGCGGGGCACATCATCTGACTGGAAAGGTTGATGTCCCAAGCCCCATAAGCCCTGAGACTGAGCTGACTAAGCTCAGGGTGCAGCGCCCGGCGCAACTGGCGCAGGAGGACTGGACTGTCGGGGCTTGGGATGTTGCAGATTTTCAGGGTTTCCAAGGACTGGAAACATGCAAACATATGCAGGGAGGCAAGGCTGACATCATTACCAGGCCCAGTTTTGGCACAGGGAGTTCCAGGAATTTCCATGCCAGGCTCTATTATATGATGAATGAAGAGACTGGCCTCCTAGAGGCGTAGACCCTACCCTTGAAGCTTGAGCTCTTCACACGAACTGCTCAGTACTTTCATGAGCCACCACGCAAGGCAACCAACATGGTTTGACCGTCCTCGATGAGAGTAAAGATCTGAAACTCATCTGAGCCGGGCCATAGCACGGCCCAGTCCGGAGCTTGGCAGGAGATTGAGGAGTGCCAAAACTGTGCGACGGCAGCTGGACAGAACATCGGGAGGGGAAGAATGTAATTAGCCAGGATCCCACTGCGAGATTTGATGTCTAGGCCCAAGCTTCCGACCGGTTTCGGGTGATCCGTGGTCTTCCGATATCGCAACAGGCATGCTGTCTGTCTTGTTGGAGAAGGGGCTCGGAATTCCATTACTTTTCCATATTTCAAGCTTTCGCTCCTGCCTCTGCCCAGGTCCTGGTTCCTGGAGCAAACTTCTGCCACCACTGCGGCTGGAAGAAGGGTGCCATCAAGGCCACTGTGGTACGGACAGAGGCGCCCTTTGTGAAATCCTTACGTCACGATTACTGCTGGAGTAGAGCTGCGGACAGTTGGCTCACGGTTTCCACATGCGGATCATCGCAGACGCATAAGCGGACATGCCTTCATCGCTCAAGTTTGTACCTCAGTGAATGTCGAAATGGTTCTCGAGTTCCCCCTTTCAGACCTCCCGCACGCTGCATGCAGTTTCAGAGGTGTTGAGTTCAGGCACTTGAGGCCGTTCAGGACAAACAGTCGTGGATGGCCGAAAGCAATCTGCCGCTGCAGGCTGCCGAAGCTGCGCAGCTGCCTGGCGCGGTGCCAGCAGCAAAGTCGCAGGCTCCAAGCACCAAATGAGACGGCCTGCGCTTGTGATCAGACATGTTGACCTCCTATCGCCCTCCACTCTACTCTAACTTTCTGCTACGAACGTGCAGCGTGAGGAGAGCGGATACTGTTCGGGTGTTTCAATGCAGGCCGCGCCCGCCGCACCGCAGCAAGCCGTGCAGCTGCAGAGTGCAGCCGCAGAGCCGGCAGGGGCCTTGTCGGAGAGTCGAAGCGCAATTCGCTTCCCGAGCAGACACTGATTGCAGAGTCCTTGCATTCGTAATCTGCTTGCTTGGTGTCTTGGATTTCCTTTACAGGAACCCGTAACAGGGACTCTAGGGATCGCAACCCTAGAGATCCCTTATGGCGCTTCGGCGGTGCCTCCTTCGATTCCGAAGGCCGTCACTCCGGTCCCGAAGGCAGCTGGAGCAGCGCCAAAGGCCGAGGCAAAGGTTACTACAGGGGCCTATAAGTAATGACCAATACAGTACGATTTTGGGGGCTCCTCATTATGATTATAGTATAATGGGCCACAGAACCCTATTCTAATTATTAAGGCCCCTATAGTAAGTCTGTTTGGTGTTTACAAAACTCACGAAGCTTTGGGATTAAATCAGTAACTGACTGGGGATTGTGGCGGCTTAGTGTGGGTTTAGGATTCGGGGTTTCAGGCTTTCTGGAATTAGGGTGTTTGGGGGGGGTGTTGGGATGCAGGGGTTCGAGTTTCTGGATTTGGAGGACCGTGCATAAAGGCAATACATGGCAGACCACGAATTCCTCCGAACCCGAACCCGCCCGTGAGAAAGGCCCGGGGGCGACTGTGCACCGAACCAGCGCAGATCGTAGATACTGCAGGAGAAAGTCTCGATTGAGTAGAGATGGACCACATAACATAAACTAGGCTTGGCCTACACCACGGGTTCAGGACACTTTCGGATTTGGGGGATAGGAAGTAGATTTGAGATTGAACTGCGTAGTCCTCAGGCTATATTTGATAGTTGAGTGTGCATGTTGTTTATATGGATATAGAAATACATACATGTTTTAAGGGCTCCTTATGAAGTCTTGCATACGATGAATGAGAGAGGTCATCTGGCGTCATCCAAATTAAGCCCAGGTTGTCGTAAGGTGAACCAAAGATTATTATGACATCAGTTCATATCTCTATTGACCATGGAAGTTGATAAAGTTCCTGAAGCAGTTTATGGGGGTTACATGTTGAACTGTAAAGTCTTCTGTTCTCGAAGTCCTGTGTGCATGTGCCTCAGCCCGAAACCCACGGCTCATCTCATCCTCGAGAGGCATCGCAGGCAGCAGCCAAAGGAGGAACTGAAACATTTGGGATTGCCTCATTCAGGGCTTGGCCCAGGTTGCGAAGTGCTGCTGGTTACTCGCTGCCTTGCATTCCAGACATCACCCCCCACCACCCCCCTCCCGTCCTCTCCCTCCGTCCAAGCTGTTCGTGATTGGTGGATGTTGAGTGCAGTAACTTTCGCTTTTGCCTTTGCTTTGGTTTGTTGGTTCTGCATGTCATCTTGCTCCCCCACTCTGTCTGTGCACGTGATGGTGGGCTAGAGTGTTAGGCATCTGTGATGTTCGAGGTTGTAGCAGATGCACATCTGCAAACATGCCTGTACACATGCTTACACTCCGGAAAAACAATCAGTCCGAAAAACGAACAAAGCAACAGAGAAACACGCAAATGAAACCCAAACACACTTGCATGCAAAACGAATACATACTTATACCTACTAATCACGTGCAAAGACAAGTAGCCTGGAAAGGTGTGAATGCAGACGAAGAGGGTTGTTTGCATGAGGATCGACAGCACGCCGCGGACCGGGGGTCATGAGTATACTTGCATCATAAAATCAGCTCAGTTCGACGTACATAGTAATGTGTTATGTTGCATTTGGATCAAGATCTTATCATGGCGCTCTCGTTAGCAGAGGGGCCCAGCTGGTCGCCAAGCCTTGCAGCCTGCAAGGAGCCATCGCCAGGACCCCGCCAGAAGCAGGCGCGTCCATGTTCCTGCTGCGAGAGACCCGGAACCCCAAGCCCCGTGCGCCTTGCGCCCAAGGATCTTTTAACAGTAGTCAGCTAACGTGAATTGGATTCGAGTGTCCAAGACTAAGTTGGAATGTGCCGCTTACTGGAAGCTGCGTTCTGCCCAGGGAACTACGTCGTGGAGCTCCGGCGGCAAAATCCCGCTGAGAGGCCCGCAGAGATCATACTGGCACGACTGGTGAAGGTAATGACATATGTATATATCTATATATATATATATATATATATGTATATATATGTATATATGTACATATGTATATATGTACATATGTACATATGTACATGTATATGTATATGTATATGTATATGTATATGTATATGTATATGTATGTGTGCATACATAGATATATGTCCTCTCGGGACAGCCTCAGCAGCAACTTGCTGTGGCAGAGCTTGCGACTTTCTGACCGGTTAAGATCAGCAAGAGCACCCTTCAAGCATGCTGTGCTGATCCTGTCGGTGGCAATGTATTCTGGGTGACTTCGGAACATGCTTTTGTTGACATGCTCCACATCAAGCACATGCCCACCCGTCTTATTGCCTGCAAGCCTTCCGAACGCTACAAGTAGTGAGTGGAGTCCTCCACTGGTGCCACCAGCATCAGAGCGGGAGGCTTGTTTTGTTGTGGTACTTGACTTGTAGCGCCCTGATGGTTCGTATACTTGGTTTGTGCCGCACTCATCGGTTGGTTGGAAGAATTTGGTCTACTTGGATGTTGGAGCCCTGATTGTGGAGCCCCCCTGGCCCTTGTGCTGGTATGCACAGGTTTGGCTTTGGTTGGGATGCCTGGCACCCGGACACGAAAGACTGCGTGGAGTTCGATAAGCGCAGTGGCAGAATCAGCGTTTCTGCTGACGCTACTGTTCAGAAGTATACTCAAAGTCAAAAGCACTGGTATGGTGACATTCATCATCGCCACCACCGCCGTCGCGGATGTCTCAGATGTCTAACCACGTAGGTTAAGTTACGGCGACATATGATGGAACGTGCCTCCATGGTAGCCCGAAACCCCGGTCCCAAACCTCATGACGAGGTCAAGAAGCTGGAGAAAGACAACGTGCGTGTCATCACCAAGGCATGTGGGAGATGTTTGTCAATGTGTTTATACACCTGGGGAATTATGTGTCAAACTTATGTCTGCTATTTATGCGTACGCACTTCTTGCGTTTGGTTTTGTACATCTCATGTACGCACTCGCGTAACGAAAGGGTCTACCTTTTGGGTGCATGCATGCAAGGTGTTCAATGTCTGTGCTCTCATTCACGCATGCACCAAGCCTGCACCGAGCCGTTGTTTTCCGAATCGGTTTGTTGACTCTTTTGAGGCCGCTCCTTTTCCGACATTCATAAATTGCCCACACATCGAACATCACATGTATTGACCTCCAAAGCTGAGCTCGCAACACTGTTACACTCGTTCCTATTGTCATCCCCAGGCATGTTAGAAAGAGAAAGTTAGTCGAGTCAGGCTCGCCCCCAGTGAGTCCGGAACGGGAGGGTCCCGAACACGCAAGCGCCCAGTCAAGCATGTCCAGGAGATTAGGGGGTTTAGGGTTGTTCCTGACTGCGCCCTCGCGTTGTGGCCGACTCCACCTCGTGCCATTCCTGACTCCTGCTCGTTCACGTTCCTGACTTGGCCCCCGCCTGTTCTCGACTCGCGCGTCCGACTCGCCTCTCATGCGGTTAGAAAGATAAATGCGGGAAGGAGCACCGAGGCTCCCGAAAACCGTCCGGAGAAAGCTTCCTTCAACACTTTTAGCACAGCTGACTTGCGAAGCTCGAGGTATTGCCTGGCACGCTCGCGGCGAAATGGAATGAGAGCCCTCCACCAGGCTCCTACGAGGGCTTCCAGGGGATGCTGGTTTTGGGCTTCGGCGTTGAAGAAATCGGTTTCAAGACTTCACAGCCAAGCCTTGGAGGTGTTCTGGGATGGGCAGTACACCGGTGGTTTGGGGCTTCGGGTGCCAGCAGTGAGGGTCAAGAGTCCGGCTGAGCTTGGATGCGTGCATGCCAGCGGCAGAGCATCGGAGCTTTGTCAAGAAAGATGCATTGTAGTTTTTCGGAGATGTCGGACAGGCTGCGAGGTCAGACCTGGAGACACGCTGGTGAAGGCTTGCCGGAGATCCCACACTATGGCCGTTGCTCTTATGCGATCTTGACTTGCTGCTGGTGCATAACACGCTTCCCCTCTGCTGGCAGTCCATGCAACTCCCTTGTCAGCACATCTTGCAAATCAGCTCAGATTTCGAGGTACATAAAGGGGAAGCGCCCTTTCCGATAGGCCGTAGGCATCAGTCTAGTGAACTCAACCGTGCTGCCGCATGCTTGGCATGCATGCGAGCACATTTCCGTCCCGATATTGCATCTTTACCAGCACATGAAGATTCGTGCAATGCCAGAGCAAGTTTCGGGTTGCTACTTGGAGATCGCAGATCTTTGACCCTTGCAGACTCTGGTCATTTTTGGATGAGATAGCTTACCCCGATGGCCCTAGAGCAAACAAGAGCGCCGATTGCCAGTTGAATTGCCCAGAACAGTGCTGTGCCTGAAGAAGCAAACCCTTCCTGCACTGTCCTGTATCAGAACCCCTGACGGCCCCACAAAGTCTGAAACCTAAACCTGAAGGTGAATGGGAAACAGGGTCGGATCGAGCTCCTGACAGTCGAGCTCAGCAAGCCTCTGGCCTGCACTGGGGCAGACGAGCATGATCCACTGATGACCACATCCAGGGATTTTTGCAGCAACAGCGGAATTGAAATAAGGGGATGGAAAGTACAACTTTCAACTTGTCGTGTAATGCCGACATGAGCTATGCGGCACAGCGGTGTTTGTTGCTTCAGTTCTACGCACTAGATGCAGTCGTCTTCCACAGCATCATTGACCACAATCTTCGGTCCGTCAACCTCGTAGCTCTACAGCCGCGTGAAGCCTCTTCATACATTGAGGATGTACGTGGTGTGCGAGTTCCAGCCGCACGAGCCTCGAGATTTAGGAGGACTGCGTGGTGGTCGTAGGCGTGCACATGTGCATGCATGTACTTGCCCACGCTCACAGACATGCGCACATGCAGTCTGTGCGAAAAGAGCAGAATAAATATGGCTCCGCTGGCAAAGACCCTAGATGCTGCCTGCACGTCACGGGCGGCCACCTGCGCACTGCGCACCACCTGTGGGAGCACCACCTGTGGGATAAATTTGTGACGTATGCTGTTCAACTTCTACGGTGTTTTGCTCATTCTTTAAGAGATAGATATACACACACACGCACACGTCGGAGTGTTCAAGCCGACTGCTTTGCAGAATGTTCAACTGGCTGTTTCGCATTTTGGTCTCTCTCTCTCTCTCTCTCTCTCTCTCTCAGTCTCGCTATTGGTCTTCTATCCGCATGCTTCTATCGGTATAAGCGATAGAAGCAAACGCATACTGTACATTTGCGCGCAGACATGCAAGTGGTCGTGCGCGTGCATCCACAAAAAGCATGCATCTGCACATCATACATGCATGCAGAGGTGTGCACAAGCAAGCAAGCAAGTTCAAGCAAGCTAGCGGACAAACGTGAATGGACACACACATACATACATGCATGCATGCATACATACATAAATACAGACACACACACACACACACACAGAGTCTCGCACAGATGTCCGACGAATGTTGGAAGCATGCAGCATGTATGCACTTTGGAGTCTCACAGGAGCTGGAGACAAGCAAAGCGACGAAGCCCCGCAGCCTTCTGCACCTTGGTCAGAAAATCGTGGGGGTATGCGATGCAAAGCTCAAGCCTGTTGGCTCAAGACGTAGAAGCCCAAGTGACACGAAGCTGGAGTGCGCGGCCTTGAACCAAGTATCAGTGGCTCTGGGCCACCAGGATCTTCTTCTCTGCCCAGGTCTTTGATGTCCCGAGGAAATGACCATCCAACTACTAGTAGTTGAAAAGCTTCTTTTGGCAGTTGGACTTGATGCTAGAAAGATCCATCCGTGTCTCAGCAGTTGGCAACACATCGCAGTCCATGATTCCCCAAAAGAACAGACATCGATCGGCAGCTTTCACAGGCACCGGAAGCTACAAAACCTGGAGCTGCACCGGCACTGGCTGCCCCTGCTGCAGAAGCTGTGGCTCCGCTGGCAGTGGCCACACCTGCTGGAGCTGCAGCCGCGACGCTGCCAGCTGCAGAAGCTGTAGCTCCGCCAGCGATAGCAACACCTCCTGCGGAAGCTGGATCCACCCTGAAAGTGGCGATGCCCGCAGCAGGCTCACCCCCACCAGCGCAGCCCGCTGCTTCGTCGCCCAAACCTGTTCCGGCTCCGGTCACAGAGGGCGAAGCTCCAGAACCAGTGCTGGCAAAAGACCAGCCTCCCAGCCCCTCTGCGAAGGACATTTCCAGCCCCTCTGCGAAGGACACTGGCGCTTGAGAATCGAGAGCCCGTCGGTTCGATTTGCCACCGGATTGACAGTAGTGGCAGTTCGCACCATGCCGTCATTGCTTTTAGGCTTCTGATGCCTGGCTTGATGCCAGGGCTTGTTCTCTTAAAGCCATGAGTGTTCTATACAGTATACCAGGCAAGGGACAGCTAGCTTGCCAGGATCTGCCCCCGATGCCGGACGAAGCTCCCTTACCACCACAGCTGCCGCCGGAGCCGCTTGAGGCCTTCAGGAAGACTGAAGACTGCCTGTATGAGGGACCTTACAGCCTGCAGTCTACTTCGACACACAGGAGGGCTCGTTGCTGCCTCTGAACTGTCGGAATTGGAAAAATGAAGCTCTTGGTGGAGGCCGCGGCCGTGTCTGATGCAGCGCCCAGCGCTTCGAGCTGATGCTCGTCTGAATATGTAGACAAGTGCAGTGACTAATTTCAAGGTTCAGGTAACTGCGGAGTATCTTTCGATGGGCAGCTTCCAGCCGCAGTTTGCCTAAAAGGGTCGTGCCTCGTAGAGTGGACTCACCCCATCCGACTCCAAGACCCGAAACCGAAATCGGCCCCAGACCCGAAGCCGAATTCAATTTGGAACATGTGCCCCGGGAAGACCCCCAGACCGCTGAAATGGCTTGAGTCTTTTTTGACGTTCCTGGTGGCCAACTAGTTCCCCTACCGTTCCACTACTCTTCCTGAGCTTGACTTTCGTCTCCCTCCGGTTTGTCTGAAGGTGTGGAGGTCATTGAAACTCCTTCGGAAACGCCGGTGGCTTGCTCAGATGCACGGGATTCAGGGGCATGAAGATAGAGTAACTATGCTTCGTGGGCGTGGCAGAGATTCAGGGTGCGGCTCATCGGCGAAGAGCCCAAGTGAGGGTTTAGGGAAGGGCGTCGGATCCGTGGAACTGTTGATAATTCCTGCACAGCTTGACTGGAAAGCACGACTTTGAATTCGATGATGGCACAGTCTTGAAGCGGTTGGTCAAAACACTTGCAATCATGGACCGTCGCTGCCATTGCGTGGCAATGAATGACAATGCTGCAAATTGTCGCGGGGGTCTTCCATTGAAAGCTGCAGCTGTTCTGCCATGGGGCATTCTTGCTAGAAGCTAAAGAGATCGTCGGTATCGGGTCTTCGAGTTGCACAGAGACACAGGGTATCAGGCTAGCTAGACCTTAGACTGTGAGCGCTGCCGTCTGCCTGTACATGTTCCGAAGACCTTGCTTGCATTCAATTGTCTGAAATCGAGATGTTGTAAGCTCTTCTAGCCTTCGCATGCGAGCTTTGTCAAGGAGTGAATGGCTGGCTCAGTGCGATTGGGCAAAAGTCTGCATCAGTCATGACCGTGGCACACTGAAATGGAGCTTCCGCACGTGACTGCAGGAACTGGACCATCCGTCCAACAATGCCGCAGCAGAGCCGGTGTGCCAGGGCATGTGATTTCGTTGCTTCGCAGTCGGGGCTCGGTGATTTATTCAGTTTCTACAATGTTGCGCTGTAGCATTTCGGTGGAGGGCTTGGGTGTAGGCTTTTGCAGTGCTTGCCGTGGCTTGGAAGACAGCTTTTCTTCTGCTCAAGGCGGACTATTGCAAGGACGAAGTTCGACGCATCTTGTTTCAACGGAGCGGCGGAAACATCAGAGCTTAATTGTATTATGCATGATTTGTAATTTCCACATTACGTTATACTGTCGTGTGTGTCGCTTTCTGTGTGTGTGTGTGTGTGCGCGTCTGTGTCTGTGTGTGCGACTGTGTCTGTGTCTGTGTGTGCGTGTGTGTCTGTGTCTGTGTCTGTGTCTGTGTCTGTGTGTGCGTGTGTGTCTGTGTCTGTGTCTGTGTCTGTGTGTGCGTCTGTGTCTGTGTCTGTGTCTGTGTCTGTGTGTGCGTCTGTGTCTGTGTCTGTGTCTGTGTCTGTGTGTGCGTCTGTGTCTGTGTCTGTGTCTGTGTCTGTGTGTGCGTCTGTGTCTGTGTCTCTGTGTGTGTGTATGTATGTGTGTGTGCGCGTTTTTGTTTGGGGATGCTGGCCCGGAGCCTTCAATCCGAAGTTGGCGCCTTCATTGCCGTCGCTTGTGGCTCCTCGTGGTTCGCAAGTTCGGATGCACTGAGCCTGAATTCTCTGGGCTTTCGTCCGGTCCACAACTCAAGCAGCCAGGCTGACAATGCGGAGATTGCAGAGCCCAAAGAGGCAGCAAGGCCGACAGCTTATTCCAGACTCGAGATCGTCGAGAAGCTTCGGTCATGGTAGAGGGCTCTGAAGGCCCTAGGAGCCTTTCCGACCTCCATGCAACAAACGTCTCTGTTCTCGCCTCATCACACGGGCCAATGTGGCACATCCTTACCTGGTTTTCATCCTCAGCACCGAAGCCAAAGTGCGCAGGGAGCCGGCAACTGTGGAGGCGGAGGCACACTGGGGACGAATGGTTCTCAGTCTCCAGAGGGTGAGCAGCATGTAGACAGTGCCGCACATGCATGCTCCCCTTCGTATTCCGATCGATGGTTTAGGCCTTAAGGTCTTTGGGTATTGTGGGTTCATCTCAGAAGCAATTGGCCCTGCTCTGGAAGCCTGCTTGGTTCTGCTGGCCAGCGGCGAGAAGTTGTACAGTACATCTCAGCATGATCATGCTCCACATGGGCACAGCGACTTGAGTGACTCGCCCTTGAGCTAATCAGTCTTGTAGCTTTGAGGTTCAGGCTGAGGCTGTGAGCTTCAAAGAGCTTTGCCATACGTTCGGACCCTCCAGAAGATAAGACATGTTTGGAAGGCAAAGGACGAGAAGCCGGCGGCAGAGACGACGGAAAGCTTGCGACTCAGCAACTGTATGTTATTCAGTTATTGCCTCAGATTTCAGTGCTGCGACGGAGGAATGAATGAAATGCAAATCTGAGGGATGAACAGCCGGTTCATGCACGATTTCGTGATTCTAATTCGAGCAGCTTCTGCCTTCATGTTTGATCCGGTGCGCAGCATGGCTGGGTGCTTCAAAATTTATCCTGCGAAGCCTCAACTTTTATAATATAGGATTCGGGCTCCTATGCCGCATCAACTATGCTGCCTGTAGGACGAAGACTCGGCCGCGCAGCGTCGGTGAGATTTTGAAGATCTGACTTCAAAGCTGGGAAGGGCTGAATATGTACCAAGTAGCTCGTCATAGGCTGATGTCACTCTGCTGTTGCCCTTCAGCAAATAGTTGACATGACATGTCTTCTACAATTGAGATTATTCTGCTGCGATGCACTCGCAGCCATGTAATCATGCCCTAACCCCTGAACCTGAAAGCTTTCCTGTCTCAGGTTTCTACGTCGTTGTGCTGCAGCGCGGGGCGACTTCCGAGAAGTGGGGCTTCCAGTGGGATCGCCAGGCGGCCATGGGCCTCGGGTTCATACTGGGGCCGGAATGCTTAGCAATCAGAACCTCTTATGATCCCTATACGGTGGCCGATATTATAAGACCCTGCTTCGTCCGGCTCATTACTGTCTCACCCTACACTCGAAGAAATGGCTTCCTGCAGAACCTACAGCTTCTCCGAAGTCCCTTCGCAGGCCATGGACACACTGAACGTCAAGGTGATCGAGGGTGTGCTTGCCTCAACCGCTTGCGAGTTGGGATCGAGATCTTGGCCGTGTGCAATGCGAAGCTCGAGATAGATTGAAAAGCTTCCGAGCTTGTGATTCGTAATTCCGCACCCATGGCCCGCTAAGAAAACCCAGAATCCCTCAACATCATCACTGTCCCCCCACCCCTGCTCTAAAACCAAAGACCCGTAGCCACACAGCCAGTCCGAATTCTGTCTGGTGCTTACTAGGGAATGGGGGAATGGATCCCTATGATAGCCCCTTAAGGTCCGCTGCAGTAGTCCCAAAAATCCATTCCCCAATTACCTGCTAAGAACCAGACAGCCTACTAAAAACCCTAAACCTCTATACCCTTATAGTCATCCTTATAGTAACCCTTAAAGGAACCCTTAAAGGAACCCTTAAGAGAATTCGCCCAGATCGCCCCGAACTCCTTGGCCTCGGATTGGAACCGGCGCTTCCCGGACCGAGCGGCCCGGAAGGGGGACCAGCTGACGAAGGCCCCGCCCGGGCAGAGCTTTCGGGAAGTTCAGGATGCTGCCGATACGATAGTATACTATAATATACTGCTTGTAATTATGACTATAACATAGTCGTGTAATACGAAACTTAGTACAGTATGCTGTACATCATGCAGAATCGGCCCTTTGCAAGAGGTTCTGCTGCTTCACATCGTGAGGTTTCTGTAGTTTCAGCAATCGAAAATCTCATCCAAGGCAGCCCCACAAGTACCGCCGGACAGACTGCTGATTCATCAGCGCACAGCCGCTCTTCCGATGAAACAAGAATCAAACTTGCGCGTGATAATGCCTAAGCCTGAAACCCGGCAGCTTACCGCCCTACACCCGCAGCCCCAAACTCCCTGGGCTCTAAACCTGGAGCCTGGTGTTCTTTGGTTCTATCTGGACGGATAACTTATACGGATGATGAAGGGAAAAGCCTGAAACCGGGAGGTCAACGGCCTTCGAGATCCGGCAGGGATGGCGGCCGAGATGAAGCCGGGGCCCCAGTCTATGGCCGCGGAGTCGTTTGTTGCTTTCGACCCTTTCTGGGTTCAAGGTTGAAGTATTTCTAGCGTTTGGTTGCAAAATTAGGTTCACACGAAGGTAAAAAGACGTGCCCGGTTCTCCAGAAGTACAGTGTTGATACACCTGCCAGGAAAAATCAGGTCACCTGCGAGTTCCGGTCGGCCCTGGTCTCAAAAAACCTGGGTGATGGCGTCTTGGGCCTCTTCGGACCGAGCGTTCGGTGTATAAGTGTATATGATATTCTACACTCTATGTAATAAACACGACATATCTCTACAAATGTGTGTATATATATATATATATATATATTACATTATATATATATATATATATATAGCATCACCATATCAATTTCTACATATGGTGTAACTGTAGCTTTCAGCGACATCCCTTCTGCTGTCGACCCTGCGCCCGCCTCAGGCGCAGCCTCGCGACGGGGAAGCAAAGGCGCCGTCCACCGGGGCAAGCATCAATTGAGTCATTTCGTAAGACTACTCATATAAGGGCCGCCACAATGACCAATACTGTTTTGAGGGCTCCTTATTCTGATTATAGTTTAATATTCTCCCAAATCCTATTCTAAAGATTCAGAATCCTCTTTCTTATGTATGCATATGTGTTTCTACCCATGGTACATATCCTTGCCGCCCAGAGCCCAGCTGATTGACGACGCCCCGGTTGGGTATGCGCTTCCATATCCGGTCAGGTTCCGGAGCTTCGAGCCAAGCCGGAGCTGACGCCTTTGAAACTGCCGTCCGGGCCACGGTAATCCTGATAGTGACCCGTATAGCAACCCTAGAATCGAAGACATGGTCGGGACTGATGATGTGTGGGTTCGCTTGACCTTTGGATGCCTGGGTCATGGTGAGATGTGTTTTGATGAGGTTCCGCCTCAAGAGCTCAGGAGTTCAGCCAGGGGACACGGAACTGGAGACCCCAAGAATCCGAGCTCAGGGCGTCGGCGCTTCAGCGGCCTGGCCCGGTTCCAAGTATTGGAAGCACGGTGAGGGTGGTCTCATGTGGTCTCTGAAGGCATGTCTTCACTGGCTGTTAGGTTTTGATGGAGCCCAGCTGGTGCAGATGATGCTGACATAAGTCAAGCCGGTCTACAGTACTTCAGAACGAGATTGCAGCACGCAGGCCTCAAAGGTGAAGCAACAAACTCCGTTAACCTCGAGAAAGGGCTTACCCAGCCTACTGAGCAGCTTAGCTTGAGTGTGTAAGATCTCGTCTTCCTGCATGGCGAGGTGTGGCTGTGGCCTCCGGCTGACCTTGCCACCAGGTGACATGACGGTTGGATCTTCATAGACTCGGCTTCATGCGGCCTTTCTTGATCTGCTTGAACTGAAGTTAAGAGATGCGCTATGCACCTGGAGGAAGCATTGCCAGCAGTGCAGCGGCGTCTCTGAGGGCTGCTGCATGCACAACGAAGAGCCCAGTCCCATCCTCCCCCCGAAGCCCGACGCCCTACGCCGACACCGTGGTCACGAAGCCTCTCACCAAAGGAATTTTCCACCGCTCCTCCCAGAACTGGGAAGCTGCAAGCCCGGTGGAAGGCTCAAAGACGGTGGCTCGGAGTCATGCCATGTCGAGCATGGTGCACGGGATGTGCTTGCACGGAAGGTTACGGTGCTTAGTCTCCTTGCCTACGAGGCTTCAAGCGTGAGCTGCCTGTTTTTCCTGTTGGCTCAGCTTGACTTACGACGCAAATGGCATGCCACAGTGGCCAACATGCAAAGGTATCCGCGGCACCATCGCTCCAATCCCAGACTTGTAGACTTACTTTAAAGCGCTAGTAGCCGCTAGTAGTCACCAGAACTAGCCTCGACCCACCAGTGACAAAACGCTCCTTCGCGATCAGGCTAGGAAGGATCACCTCTGCGAGCTCACATTTGAAGCCTGCAGTCTTCCCGACACACTACTGAGTGCAAGAATCTGGCAAGCATCGGAGAAGTAGGCTCCGACGGTCATGGGTGCAGCATCACCCGCTCCCGTGCAAAGCAGGTCCCCGAATCGCATGATGTAGGGTGGGGCTCTTGACTGTCTAACCAGAGTTTGCAAGCTTTCGTGTTTCAAAGGTAAGGCAACTGATACAATGGTCTTGTTTTGTGATTGAGGCAGTAGCACAGCCATTGCCACAGGCTTCTCAACCCGTCCTGATGCACGCTACCTGCAACCAGTGCCGGCTGAGTGAGTCTATTGCACTGAACCCCTGAAGCTGCATTCCTTAGAAGACCCCGAACTGGCTGCGCAGCCGCACGGACCAGTTAGCCACGACTTAAAACCCACCCCCAGGTTCGGGGTTGGATGTGCGGTTTTCGTTGGGCTCAAGAGGTCTCGTGAAGTATTCGGCTGGAATGCCACGAATGCAGCCTTCAAGTCAACGGCCTCGCATGAACGTCGTCATCTCTGGAAATCTCCGGAAATTGGAGCAGCAGTCTGCGGACAACCCTACAATGCCCTACAAGCTCTCTACTTCAGTGCCAAGACCGCCTTTCGAAGCCCCATTGCTGCGGCAGGAGCCCTATGCCTTGCCAAGAGGATTTCGATGCTTATATGTGCTCTGGCTGCGATGGCCCAGGGTTCAGACTCTTCACAGATGAGTCAGGATAACGTAATGGCCCAGTAACAGAAGGAATGGATTGGCGCCATAGCCAAAAGCAGCTACAACACAGCTTGCTTCAGATTCCCGTCGTTCGGTCGGCGAAACGTCTAAGCTACGTCTGACTTACATGCACGCTTTGCTTCAATCTCGCCAAAGCAGTTGAGTGCTCCTCGAATCTCAGCTTAGCTTGGACAGCTGTACAACATCATACTATGGGCAATTGGCCTGTAAACTTAAGACATCATGACGCCGGTCATTTCGCTGCGGGGCTAAGCCGACCGAGTGCCACTTTATCAGTCATGGAATCCTTATGAGTCCGTGGCCTAAACCCCAAACCCAGAAACGAATCTGTTGCGGATGCCCGAAGCCAAGATCGCCAATGATTACGGCTAGTGGTCTACAGTAGACAGCCAGTCTTGCATCTTGCATGTCAAAGGGACTTGGGCCACCACTCCCTGGCTAGGCTTTATGAGCGGTCTAGTTGGGGTGCTGTTGGATCGTTACCACTGCGCTGAGGAAGTGTTGCAAAGACTTTGTCGCGACCTGAGACGCCATGATACGCACAGTCCTCTAGATCGGCATGGAGAGTGGACAGTGCTTAGGGTGCATGGCGGCATGAGAACGTTGGTGTTCCAGCTGTGGTTGGGCCGATGTCCTGAGCTGGTTCTTCTACGGTCTGTTTGGGATGTTTCCGTCACTGAGTCGTGCAGAGATGCAGTTCATGTGCCATACTCCGCACAGCATTGTGTGTGCTACGGAGGGTGGAGCCGCAAATGCACTGTTGGCAGCTTGTGATACTGAGGAAAACACACAAGACATGGTGGACTGCGAGACCATCACCTACAAGTTCTGCACCCAGGGGGCAGGGAAGGTTATGCTCGAGCAATCCTGCTCGCAATCCGGCGGGCACCAAGATCAACTCAGTTATCGACGCATAGTTGGGTTCCCTTGCTGCTTGATTTGGGGCCGGTGCTTCAGATCCGGATGTCTCTCTGTGCCATCTGTGTGCCATCAAGACTGGAGTCACATTCCGTCCTCGGCTATGCCTTCGTATGTGCTCAGGCAAGCAGCAATAGCAGCGGAAAACAAGCAACGAGTAAAACCCGGGATGTGATGCGTAGCCTGGGTATATCGCCTCGGTCGATGCTTTAACCTCCAAGCTGATGAGAGCTAGCAGTCCCGGAACCTGCATGCAGACGTGTGAAAGCTTGTTTTCGACTGTTTGCGGTCTGGCTCCCGTTCAACCTAAAGTTGATGATACTGACTGTTTATGCTAAATACAGAGGAAGATCACCCCCTTTTCCGAGTTGTCGGTTGCTTACAGCAGCCCGAGGTTTCGACAATGTATGGAGAAGCAGATGGCCCCAAGCCCCGCGCAATGCACAGAGGTGTGGTGCATCGTTGCTACTGCTGCTATTCCTGCACTACTACCATGACTACTAGTACCAGTACCACTATAGCTAGTGTACTACTGCTCCTACTGCTCCTGCTACTCCAACTGCTACTGCTACTACTGCTGCTACTACTACTACTACTCCTACTACTGCTACTCCTGCAAGAAGGGGATTGATGCTATGGGCTGGAGGAATGGGGCACACTCCCATTTTAAGCCCCTACCCTTCAGTTCAACCCAACCCCTCACACCCAAACCCTCAAACCCAAACCCTCAAATCCGAAAACCTTGAAATCAAGGGACTTCCACTAGTGTGGATTCCGGACGTTGGTTACTCACGGGCATATGGAAAAAGGAATTCAAAAAGAAAGCAAATTGAACCGCCTAGACCTTATGGCTGGAAGGCCGACCCCAACCCCGGCGATGCCACGACGAGCGCGCCAAAGAGGTGCTGGGGAAAGGTTTGGGGCGTTAAAGAGGCGTGATAGCTTTCCACCGATTATCGTATAGGGTCGTGGGGCTTTGCTTGTCGTGGCCATAACGAGCTAATTAAGGCATAGTCGTGTTAGGTATGGAGGCTCCAGAAGCGCGGTTCGCGTCGTCGGGGCGTTAAGTCGGCCTTTTCGTCACGGTTTTGACCGTTGTAGCTTCTCGGGGATGAAGCAGTGAGTTGGGAAAATATGGTCGGACTCAGAAAACGACAGCGAACAGTCATGGGTGCAGTGCTGCAAAGAGCAGTTGCCTGTCTTGATTCACGGGCAGGTCACTTCCGGGTTAAATACGTGACTTTGGATTTTTCCATGCAAGAGCCGCAGAGATGAAGGTGACTGCAGCGCTCCCAGCAGCTGACACTGCAAGTGGCTTCCACTCGCGTGAACGCCAAAAAGCGCGCGCCTTGCCGCAGGAGCGATCTTCAAGTAGTCAGCCTGTCCTCTTTGGGATCGCAACACTCTGATGAACCTTCGAAGTTCGGAGAAACTCTGCATAGCACAGCCTCGCATGTACAAAGAGGGCAAAGGCGGAACGACGCGCAAGATTGCTGTTCAGGATCTTTGAGCTGGGCCAGGATGGCAGAGCACAGGGCAGAGCTCGATATGCGTGAGGGGAAGGGGAGCACTGCTAAAGAAGAAGCAGATGCTGAAGAGAGATGGAGTGCCAAGTCCGGTTGTCCGACGGAGTATTGCCGAGTGCCAGATGGATCTGTTGAATGACTATGATATACTATGATATAATACAGGTGTCACAGAAGAAGCAACGTTTTGGAATATCTTTGCCGCAGCACGAGAGCTCTTAAGCATATCAAGAGGCTGCATGGAGAATGCAATGGGACAATCTCTCTGTCTGTCCAAAACGGCACAGCAAGAGAAAAGCAGTAATCTGCCACACCACATTTCATTCGGAAAGACATACAGACATAAGGTGATTGCAGAAATTTCTAGTCATTTTCTATTATGGTGACTATACGCTGACCCATGCCCCTAAACTGTAAACCCCGAAGCCCTAACCGTCATGAGCGATGAGCACGAGGCCTGATGCATCAAGTCCCTTTGAAGCGACTTGATCACCAAGCGGCTGGAAAGTATTGCCAAGATGGGACAAGCCAGACGAGCATTTGAGACATGACATGCCCTATACAGGCAGCTCATGCAATTGGTCTCATGTTCATGGTTTCGGTTCTTGCTGAAATGTTGCTCTCCAGGCTGCTTTGGGTTGCCGCGCCACTGGTCGCCAGTCTGAGGCGCATGCAGAAAGCCACGGCCAGACTCACGCGTGCCTATTGACAGAAGACAGCCTGAAACTGGAATCATGGGTTAATTTTGGCTAGGTAGGAGTAATGAATGCAGATGACACTCATGACAGGATCATTAACATGGCAGCGGTGCGGAATTCTGTGGGCTGCATGCAGACAGAAACCACAATCCGACACACCAAAACCTCGCTACCCAAAGCCATGAGTCGCAGGCTTAGAAATATGTACGAAACCTCTGTTGGGAGCTCGGAGCAGGTTAGAAGTTATCGTGCCCAGTCTTTGGGCACGCGCCGACCAGCGAGTCAGCTTGCGCCGGACACCCGGAAAAGTAGTGGCAGAAAACGGATCCGAGTTTCCACTAGACCGTCACCGGCAATGGAATGAGAAGTGGCAGCACTTGTTTGGTTGGTTTGGGTGTCGGCGCTGTACGGAGGGCAAGACAGCTAGACCCTTGCCGGGACAACATCGAAAACCGACGAGTTCTGGTCTATGTGTTGAGAACCAAAATGCACCGACGGTTTTGCAGCGACAGTGGCCCCACTGCTAACTCGAGGCCAGCGTTTTCAAGAATTGGGTCCCGAGCTCCGCGCCAAAGACTATCGCAAGATCCTCGGTCGCTGCTTTGCGGGCGTGCACCCACAGATCCCGTCGAGCCTGAGCTTCCGTGCGTTGCCATGCTCCCGCGAGGTGTGGAGCTGCAGTTTGTTCTGGGCAACCCAATCGGAGCATCTGTGGATGAGGCGGCACCATGCATCATGGCCTCTGGGGTGTGCTGGTTTTCCTGCAGCCCTTCATGCAGGAATCGGTGCGCGAGGAGCGTGCCCAGTTCGGCGACTTGGTCGTGCCGTGTTCTCAGACTGCTGTCTGCTCTTGCCAGCCAGAACGTAGCCTGCGAGAAGAGGGTGGCACATAGCACGGACTGGGATCGTAGGTTGCAGTCTTTTCGGCTGTCGGAGAGCATGGTGGTACATGGAAGTATCATGAACTGAGTGGCACCATGTGGCACCTAAGCCGGCATCCGTAGTCTTGCACGGCTTGCCAAGCTACAAAGGTCCATACACATCACACTTGCAGAACGCCTTCGATAGGCTTCTCATCGCATTAATTTTTCTGCGGCATACATCTCTGGCTCTTGGTTTTCAGGGGTTCGAGAATGATGCGGCGCGGGAAGGCTGGGAGCTCCAGAGAGCGACGAGGAGATGCTACGGAAATGTCGGGAACGCCAGGCGGTCTCGACTCGATGGGATTGGGTTTCAGACGGGCATTGTCTTTTGTATGGCTGTCAACAGCAAGATGTGCAGCCCCATGTGCACAACAGACAATAGTTCAGGAATCACGCCTCGGATTCTCACCATCTGCTCTTGCTTTGCTGTGTGTGACATGCTAGCACCACCGACCTTTGCGGACCAGCCAGGTGACATGAACTCCAGAATCACAGCTTTTGACCTCTAAACGACATAGCTAGCTATGAGAAGTGTTTGGTGCAATCTGTGCACAGTGCAACGAGACGACAAAGCTCGTGCCAACCGGATTTCTGCCAGTGTGCAGGCCTCCGGAAAATGTAACAAACGAACAGCCAGCACCCCAGTCTCACCTACCCGAAGAGCCAACAAAACCACAGCAGTTCATGATGATACGACAGTGCCCTTGATGCCATGGCAGCAGATGAGTCTGCAGTCGATGTGTGGCTGGCTTGTTTCTGTTGGAACGTTCAGTTTCGAGCTGATCACTGGTAGTGACACCGAAGTCTTTAGATGTTATCAAGGCGAGGTTGCCAGGAGTCTAACGTTTGCCCGAGCACAACTTCAGACAAACACCACCAAGAACTCGGAGCCGAGCTCTTGAGAACCAAGATGTCCGAAATGCATCTACCACACACCCTGACCATGGTGACGTCCCTTGAACCTCAGAACCTCACTATATCGACTCATCTGCAGTAGAGCGTTTTGCCACTGAACTTCGTTGGCTAAACAGAATCAGGCAAGACAGGCGAAGCTTCAACTCCGAAATTGCAGATTTGCGGTGTATAATTCCGGTCCTTGCAGCGTTTCGGGTCTCTTTCACGTGCCCATCATGACCGCAGACGCTGGAGGACTCGCAGGGCGACAACCGCAGCAAGGACTCGATGCAGAAGTTCTGCTTTGCATGTGGACTTTCCGGCGTTTCGAGCTTCCAGCGCATTCCAGCGCTTTGCTGTCTGCCGCAGGAAGAGTTTCTGAAAGACTTCTTTCGCACCTTCAAGGTGCCTTGCGTTTTTCCACGTTCCGGTTCATGCAACGGCTTGGCGCTTCGGGTTGTTACTGGCGCTCTGCTCGTCCACATCCAGCAATTATGTCCTTCGAGTTCCGAATGAACCCAAGAGCCCTGCAACTTTCGAGCCCCGAACGTGCCTTGTAAACCTTGAATCGCAAGGCCTTGACTGCCGAAGCCTGAAGTGCAAAAGTGAGCTCTACCACCTTCATTGCCACAGCCAGCATTGAAACCGTTCAGCTGCTGTTGACAGGCCCGGTTCGTAGGATGAAGCGCAAGACCTCTCGAGGTATCTCGTAATATACGGGCCTTGATACCTACCTATACTATTTTGGGGGTTCCTATTATGATAATTCTGCAATAATGGGCCCCAAAACCCTCTTCCAATTTTTAAGAAGCCCTGTAGTAGCCTCCCCAACAGCCTTGAAGCTCGAAGACTCCATACAGAAGGCCGATGAAGCTGCCATCCGCGATGGCCTGGCTGCCGTGGATTCGGGTGGTGCCGCCGAGGCCCGGGCCAGGGCACCCCTGGTCGGTTTATAAGAACTCATTAGGTATGATATATATATATATATATATATAAATAAATATATATATATATATATATATATATATATATATATATATATATTACATATTGCATTATATCTATATCTATAACTATATCTATACATATATATATATATACACATATATTACAGATTACACTAGTCTGAAACTGGTCGGTGCCCTGCCACAGGTTCACGAAGCCCTGGATGCCCTGCTGAGGCAGCAGCAAGCTCTAGAGGCACGGGTGAAAGAGTTCAGGTTCAGGTAGCCAAGTTTCGCCTTCAGCAGATGTTGCAGTTTGTTTCAGGGGCTCGTTCGCTTTTGAGGCATCGACCCAAGCCTACGAGCATACACGCCCGGCTTTCAGAGGCTATCAGCATCGCATGCAGGGAACGACTTCAATCTGATCAGCCCCACCGCCACGAGCATCAATGTCATTGCTTGCGTCAGTCTGATGTTCGTCACCTCATCATAACAAGCATGAAATGCCTCGTCAACACCCTTGTCGCCAGCATCCCCGCAATCAACAGCGTCGCCATCGCTATTATCTTCGATCCATGGGACCATGCAAGAGCATGTTGCTTCTCATCTTATCAATACATGTCATGTCTTATGATGGCATAGTGTATCATGCCGTATCTGGTATCGTATGAAAATATCAATCATGTTTCTGTCGTATCGTACCATATCATATAACACATCCTACAATACTGGTATTACCAGTATCACATGTAGAACGTCAGATCGTCATCGTTATCATGTTCATCGCCGTCGTCGTCGCTGTGATCATCGTCATCATCACCACCACCATCAACATGATCAAGCTCCTCGTCATCATCTTCACCATTGCCAGTGGCATAATCGTCGTCGTCATCGCACCAGCATCACGGTTAGATGCAGTAGAACACACATTGCCACCAGCCCTGCAATCGCCACTACACTGCTGCAACACTATTGAATGTGCTCTGTTCGTTAAAGGGCTCGGTGTCACAGCTGAGTAAGCTAAGGCATTCGAATTCGATCCTTGCACACGTCGGCCGAGGCGTCGTTTACGCGGCAAGCGCATATCCTCCCGGCTTACGACGTGCACCGTGGCTTACAGGGGCTCCTGATGAGATTTTGTATTCAGTAGCGTAGTACGGCTTATGACACGTGCGCTTTTTCGCAGCATGAGTACATTGCGCTTGAATCGAAATGGCGCGCTCCTCTTCAGATCCCTGTGCCACCTTGTGCCAAAGTTTTCTCTTATCTCCCTGCATCATACATGCTCAATCGCAACAAAAATCCCAGGAAAACAGGTAAGTCGCAGGGACTGGGACTGGCAGTCGTTCGCACAACCGCTCCACATCTCTTGGCAGGCAGCAATACCGATCCACGCTGAAGGCATCCTGGCTCAATGAAGACACAGCGACTGAAGGAACATGGTGACGCTGCATAGTGGCATAGGGCTACCTAGATCTTCGCGCATACATGACAAACCTTCATGAGAGCTGTCCTTCCGCAACGCCTCTGCTGTTGTCGTCTTCGTCTGGCTTTTGGGTCGTTGCTGAGGCTCTGGCTGCAGAAATCGCAACCAAGAGAGAGCTGCTTGCACCGCGAAAGAAGCCCCGTGGCAGCGGCGAAGAAGAGGATGTGCTGCAGTACATGGTTCGAAGGTTTTTGCAAGGATCCTTTGGCGTTGCTTCACTGAAGGTTCTCCTTCAAGCGCCGCGCCCCGGCACCGGGGCCGGCACCCGCAGGCCCTGGCTACTGAATTGGGTGAGAAACTACTTGAGAATACCTAATTTCGGGGTCGTCCTAATATGGAACGCTACCATGTAGGGTCTATACCCTAGTCAGCTGGCTTATGCAGTTTGCGTGATAGAATGCCGGCAGTCAAACTGCTCGAGCAGCATCACACGATGCACTGTAGAAGCGAGATGTTGACAATGCCACATTAATTAATCCTACGTGTATGGGCAGTTTTCGTGAGCTAAGTTGAGTTAGATACCACATGTTTGTTGCCACCGGTGGCTCGGTGCTGGACAGGTCTTGACAGTTCCTGAGTCCAGGTTACGGCGATGTGGATCCCGCTGCGAAGCCAGCGGACGCGGGCGCAAGCAGCGCAGCGAGTGGGCAAGGCCTGGCCTTGAACGACTTGTCGACTGGCCTTGAGACCACATGGAGCCGATGTCCCGAATCGCACCATTCCTTTGCAAGAGCCATGATGAGGCCTGCTTTTATTCTGAGTGTAGCCTTAGCACGCATAGCTTTGTTCCATGGTGACTATCGGCAGACGTCGCAATGAGAGCCTTCGATAAGAGACTCTGCAATTGGGGTTTCAGGGATTTTAGGGTTGATGGTTTCGGGGTTTTTAGGGCTTAGGGTTTATGGTTTTTGGAGTTTCATGTTGCTTTGAGATGCTTTCCTCGGCGAGCGCATCGCCGAGTTGCACGGGGAGCGGATTCTGCGGAAGCCGGGAGATCTCGAGGCAAACTGGGCCATGGTCGCTTGAATGGTGACCTCAAGAATTACCCCTACTATTTTGGCTGTTTAGGGTGTAGGCTTTACGGTTTATGTAGGGATGAAGGGAGACATTGAGAATAACCTGCTGTTTACTATGTCAGGGGTTCACTTTATTCTTCATTTAGTATGTTCCAACTATTGAAGCTTTTATAGTAACCCTAGAAGTCCTCGACCAATGGTGGTAAATGGTGTGGACAACTGCCAAGAGTTGTGGTCGGTTGAGGGTCGCATATTTCCAGCTGTCTCTTACCCTCGGATAAGTTCTGCCGGTGTGCAAAACACAGCATGACTATTCCTGGCTTGACATTTTGCCCAGTGTCGTGGTCTTTCTGAAACTGTCTGCCAGATGAATGGGTGTGCATCAGTTGCGTGCTGGGGTCGCAGGCTTGACCTTGGCTGCGGCGGTGATAGCGTTATAGCATTGCGCAGTGCAGAATCAGATGAGGAGTGCAGTGGCACTCCTGCTTGCTTCAGCTTATCTACACTGCATGATGCAGTTGCGTGTGGAGTCGAGGAGCACGGTTGGCATTCGATCCCCTCTAAGTAGAGTTTCAGGCTCAGGCAAGAGCGGCAGTAAATTGGGAAATTTCACGCTGTTTCGTGTAATGACAGATTCTGCGATCCAGGGACGCGACGTGGCACTCAGAGATCTGCAAGATTGCCGCATAGTTCTCCTGGATCGGACTCTTGGCGGGAGTGCAAGCAGATTGTTCTGGCAGCTAACCGCAGCTAGCCGCGAGCCAACACTGCTAAGAGTCGAGATGTCGTGACGTGACCGACCTCGAGCACCCACAGTCAAAAGACTTCGTCGACTCCACATGTTCTTGTCTCTGCCTTTTTGTGAGGATTGGCGCGCTGCATGTTCAGCAGCTGACACGCTGCGAGGTTGTGGTGGGAGCGGATCTTCGGCTTGAAATGCTCGGGACAAGCGCAGGTTCTTGCAGGGTCTCTACTTTGTACGCGAACTGGGGCTTTCTGGTCCAGGTTTCCAAGGCACATGTTTGGAGCGCTGAGCAGCAGCTGCTTTTTTCGACACTTGGTTGGTAGTCTAGACATGCCGAGTGGACTGAAGCTTTGTCCGAAGCATCGCCTGGAGAATCACAGAGGTATGCATTCATTTGCCTGTGTACCAGGTCTCATCCTCCGCGCTGATTCACTTTTGCAAAGACTGCGTCTTCACCTTGGCGGCCCCGAACTCAGAGTTCGCCTTGGCGGAGCGGAACCCTCGCTCCGAAGTAATAGTAGATTGTGGCTGTTGTTGTTCTTATCTTTTTCGCAGCGGTGGTGAGGCAGCAGCTCCAGCATACTCTCAAGGTCAAGCAACTGCGGCTTCACGACTCGGAGAACGTACTGCTCCATCTGCACACACTGCCACAGCCCCAGTCGTGTCGTGTGCAAGTATGCAGTTTTGTTGGTGTTCGTGTGTACTTCAAGTGCCAGGGAAGCCCTGTCAAACTCTAGCAATAGTCCTGACTTGATCACCACCCCTCGCAGCAGCCCACTGTAATGTCGAACCCCCAAGAGGTGTAGCTTGCACAGGGTTCCTGCCAGCCGGACCTAGTCAAGGAGATGTAAACAGTGCACAGAGATGCTCTGAGCCGCATGCAAGCACACCGCTTGCTATTTCCGTTTGGAGATGCTGGCAATCTGCGTGCTCCACAAAGAATCGATGCAGCGCCGCTGTGGCCTGATGAGTTTCAGTTCCTGCCACGAAAGCCTCAAAGCGCCGAAACCTCAACCCAAGCCCCACACTACTGGTATCAGGTCTGGTCCGATCATTGAGACCTCGACGAGGATCGCTTTTGCGCCCTGGGACATCACTTGGGACGGAGGCCGGCGAACTGTGGGCTTTGCCTGTAGGGATTTCGGGTGAGGTTGGATTTCGCTTTGGGATTGTGTGGTTCAATTGCAGCAGCGACGCGGATGGTGGTAGCAAGCACAATTACCTTCCTCCTCATGACCATCACTCCCAGCAATATCAGCATCGTCACGACCGCATTCAACAGCTGCATGGCAGTAGTCGTCCTTTGCGCTTGATATGATCTGTGCATCGTCGCACGGCCACAAGCTGTTGCTGCTGACAGTGTCGATGCTTCCAGTCCATCCCTTTGGGAGCGCTTCTGAATAGTGATTTGCTCAGGGCTTTGCAGGCTGTAGTTTATACGGAGCATGCCGCTGGGTAGCAAAGTCGCCATGGCTTGCGCCCAGGTGGTGTACCGCAGGGCGGATTACCGCGGAGCGGCCCGCATGGTGGTAGTAACGGTGCTGCTGATCCTAGCACGCCTTTTACAAGAAATGCGGAGAATCTACGGTGTGAGCCGGATGACAGTTCCTATGAAAAGTTTGGTTTCCGACTTGGCAACAGCAGCGCAGGAACCCGCAACATCCAATGATCGTGTTGGCAGCGAATTGCCTACGGAGCCAGTCTTGGCGGTCATGCACAAGTGCGTGGAGTTCCGCGTTGGGCAATACGTCACATATCCAGATAACCATGTTGGGCAGATCACGGCGATCGATGAGGATGGGGACCTGATCGTGCATACTGACCACGGCCGTAAGGCCGTTTGGTTCGTGCACAAATGTAAGAAAGCCCTCAGCGAGGGGGATAGAGTCCTCTACCCATGCGGGGAAGTGGGTCAGGTATTGGATTTCGACGAGGAGGGCGATCTCCAGGTCATCAAGACGGACGGCACCAAGGCAAGGTGGTTCCGAGCGAAGTCCACCAGAATGCTCAGCGTCGGGGACAGCGTGGCGTACCCCGGCGGCGATGTGGCCACGGTCCTCGGTTTCGACGCAGATGGAGATGTCAACGTGGTCACACCCGAAGGGCGAAAAGCCACGTGGTTCGCTGCCAAGTGCATGTGAGTGCACCAAGTCTGTGCACGGTACGTCGAGTATAGAGATGCCGCCTGCAGCTAAATATTGCAGCGTCGTCGATTTTTTCGTGCATTTGTTTCACCTGCTTGGCTACAGCTTCAAGATGGCCAGATGCAGAATCGCTTGGTATTCGTCATCGCGCATCAGTATGTGGGCAGCCCCCAGACCCCTTATGGCTGCATGGCCCATGGCTCAACAGAGCTTCGCATGCTAAGCGCAAAAGAGCCACTGCTGCAGATCATTGCTTCCTAAACCCTAAACCCTAACCGTTTTATGATTGGTTTTGGAACCAGGCCCTGTGGCCCTGAGGCCCCTGAGCTCAGCAATGTGTCGGAGATGTCTTCAGCCACAGCCCTCCACTGTCCGCCGCAGGCACAGACCTCTTGGCAGCTGCTTCTCTGGGAGAGTTCTCCGGCGAGGCTGGTACCTTGGGCTTTCGTTCCGAGTCATGACCCATAGAAAGCCATAGGATGCCCGTGAGCTCCAAAGCCGAGTCGCGCCCGAAAACTGCAAAGGCCGCTCCTCAGGAACTGAAAGCCAGGGACTCTCCGGTAAAGAAGCGTTTTGAGACAAAGGAATCAAGCACAATCGCCTCCTGCCCTGAGGCAGGTGCATGGAGCGAGGTCCAGGACTTCAATTGGCTCAAGCGCCAGGCGGGGCCCTCATCGTCTTCTGTGTTCTTAGGAACTGAGTGGCGTTGAGGGCGAGCGGTAGAAGGCATTTGGGGCTTTACTTGAGGGTCTTCCCGTCTTGCAGGCGTCGCCCAACTGGCGACTGGTCCCTGCAGAGAGGCGGAGAAAGCCACTAAAGCTGCGGAACGCTGAGGAGGCCGACAAGCCAGAGCTCCAAGTCAAACGTGCGGTGAAGATCCTTCGGGATTCAGTGCCTGTCTAGCAATCACGGACAGCAACGGGGAGGCTGCTAGGACAAAAACTTACATAATGCATGATGCAATATATGGTGTCATCTTAGAATACAACGTAATATACTATACTAGAATATAGCACAATATAATGTAACAGAGCACCAGGTGCTGGAACACTACAGCCAGCTGCCTCTCCCGCCTGCTTTGCTGCCCGCCTGGACTTAGGGAGCTCGGGAACTCTTGCAATGACGGCTTTTGGTTTGGAGAGGTCGTGTAGGGTGTAGAGGTCCGGATTCAGAGAACGTATATGATATGATATGACATGACATGATATGATATGATATGATATGATATATGGTCACACCCCCCCTCTGATCCATACCAGCCTTCTCGCCGACTGTTCTCCCAGCATCTTTAGTCTCTGTCTGTTGTTTATCAAGCAAAGGAACCATAGGTATTTGCGATGGTTTCTCCACTTCAACGCTACTTACCTCTATTTATGTTTCTTGTAGGTGTGGTTTGAAAACCACCTGAGCCCCAAAACGGATTCTGTTTGGCGCTCCGTGTACGTAGCGTGCCTACCGCTCGCTTGTTATAATGCAGAGAACTGGAAGACACTCCTGTGCTTCTGGACAAAACCGTTTTCTCTCAATAGGAAAGGGAGAAAGCTTTTTTTGCAGTGGGAAAGCTTCGTTCACAAAGGAGCATAAGAGATCTTTTTCATCTTTAATTCTCAGTGGTCACAAACGAAAGGGTTCCAAAGTTCTTTCAGTGACCGTAAAGAACTTTGTTGCCCTAACCCGGTAAGAATAATGAAAGAGCTCGTGCATCTGTTTATTTTGCGTCAAGAGAAACTACATCATGTTTTAAATGCATTGGATCATGACTTAAAGTTTGTCGAAGTACTTTTGCTGTACAATTTGAATAGAAACGGCTGCTCTTCTCCTCATACCAGAAGGGATAGGGACAACTCATTCAGTGAAAACAAACATCGCAATGGTATGTTTGGTTTAATAGCAACAACACTGAATGTGAACACAGGTGTTGCCTATCTATCCATAAGAAAAGTAAAGCTTTGGCTCCTCACTGTACATGGACAGCAACCTCCATGTATCTTCATGCGTCAGCGGAACTTTGGACAACTTCATATCTTCAAAAGTAAGAGCGACAAGGGAAACCCAGTTTTCCTTTCTCAGTTGGTATTGTTTTCTTTCGTTAGAAATCCGGTTTCGTCACGAAGAAACACAACAAGCCACCTTAACCCCTTATTGTCAGTGGCTCTAAATCAACGGGCTCTTAGAATCTGCCAATACCACAACCTTAATTCTTAGTGTTTACGGAAAGAAGTGGTTTCTCTCCACCAAATTCCAAATGGAAAGCATTCGTTGTTCCTGACGTAATAAAGCTTCATATGCTAGGCAAAGTTGCTATTGTGACACAAAAGATGAAAGACGATCCCGCCTCAGAACCTGATCGAGCTCTTCGTTGTCGCAGAGCAATAGTGGAAATATATATGTTTCTCATTATCACCATGCGTTAAGGAAGGCGACAAAACACTTGACTTGCATTTTGTCAAGGCTGAACTTAACTACAGATATGATGTTGCTCGATGAATGAAAAGTTGGTAACGCCAGTACCTGAAGCAATCTCTTTTGCTAGCTTCCCCCAGTGTCCCCTTAACTATAAGGGTACCTTTTTTCAGGCTTTTCAGTGTTTAATGAAATGATGGAACCCTAAAACTAATGAGGCAAAAAAGGGGTACTACTGGGGAGCTCAGTTTATGCAGTACAATAGTAACAGTCATGTATCTTGCAATAGGAAACAACGGAGTTTATCAGCTCTTTAGTTCTTGAATATGAAAGACAAGAAATATTCTTCTGCAACGGGCAAGAGTCTAAACGCTTAGCAAGACATTACCTCGATGAAGAAACAACAGCTTGACAGTGTCTAAACATGATGTATAGTTCAACCATGTGCATTCGCACAAAACGTTCTAAAACATCCACAAGCATAGGCAGGCGTCAATATCATAAAGTGCAGCTGTTCCTCTATTTCTTTTATTAAGCAAAGGTGAACTCAACAACGGCTATGACGGTGTTCGATGAAAGAAGCAAGAGAACAGTTGGGAACTGAAGCAATTGAAGGCTCATCTATGAGTACATGGTACAGCTGTTCTTCTATTACATTTGCATTTCAGGTTTCAGGAATCTTGGGAAATTCGAGCCTGGCAGTGTTTTCGCATCCGAGGTTGTCAAAGCATCGCCAGCTTCGAATGTCCCCAAAATTTGTGAAGCTGGAAGTGCCAAAACATCGCCAGGCTCGAATCTCCCCAAAATTCCTAAAATCCTGGCATCTATGAGGCGTTCGGGGCCGATTTTGAGAATGTTGGGGAAATTGGAGCCTGGCGATGTTTTCGCACTTCCGGCTTCACAAATATTGGGGAAACTAGACCCTAGCGATGTTTTCGCATCTGAGGTTGCCCACCTCCCAACATCCACTGCTTACACAAACGGGCCCGCATGGATCATGGGGGGGGGGGGGGGTAAGCATCCATATCTTGTTTACATATATACTATAGCATCTTGTATATATAGTCTATCATAGTATGTTATAGTATAGTATATTGTAGTATAGTTTATTGGAATCTAGTACATTACATGATATGCAGCCCAGCCCAGGCCGGAGATGGCGACGCTTGGCCTGAATTGAAAGCTCTGATTCGGGTCGCGGGTTCCTTTAAAGGGATCCACAAGGGCTGCTTCAAGGGGTCTATGAGGGTTCTATAGAGGGGTTGGACGGTTTGGGGTTCAGGGGTCGAGGATTTCAGGGTGTAGGGGTTCAGGGGTTTGAGGTCTAGGGTTTAGGGGCTTTTGGTCAAAAGTTACGCGGCTCTCTGATTGCGTCTTTTTCTATGGCGGGTACATGGCCAGACCATTGATGCAATAAGGCAATAAGGATGCAGGATGATACCCAAAAGTGTTTGAGATGGCACAAGATAGACAACGAATGACAACGAGACGGCAGTTGACACTGAAAGCATTGAAAGCATAGTGGCAACAGCAACGGCAGTTATGGCCCATTGCTGCAGGAGCCAGTCATCATTGTCAGAGCTTTGCAAGGACTCCAAACCTCGGCCCTCGAAAAGTCTCGGGGCTTAAATCCTTCTGTACTTAAGACAACTTAAGGGCAAGTTACCGTGAGATACGGGGCCACCGGTCATTGCTTCAAGTTACCCTAAACCCGTAAGCATCCAGTGCAGTTGCAAAGCGGCCCTCAAGAAAAAAACATAAGCATGGTTCAAGTTACCCGAAACCCTGTGGCAGCCTGAAGGCAGCAGGAGGCCTGCTGGCAAAACGATGCCGCAGCCGGTACCGGCCCCAGGCTTCGGGGGTGGTGGGATGTTGGCACGTTGTATTCGAGGTTTAGGGTTGAGGACTTAGGGGTTCAGGGTTTAGGGTTTAGGGTTTGGGTTTAGGGTTTAGGTTATCGTATTTTGCAAAACCCTTCTTCTCGAGAGATTGACGGACCACCAAGGCTCAGTCAACTAAATCCTGAACCATCATGCGTCTGTCGAGCAGAGCTTCTCCACAGCCCCTGTAGGATCAGAAGCCTTCCACTGCATGTGAGTCTTTGCTTGTCTTCCATGATGCCAATGCAAACGACGGAGTCAGGCAAGCAGATACCTCAGTGAGAGTCTACTGCTCCACAGCTCCCGAAAGAGCATTGTAAGGTGCCGAAGAAGATGAATTCTGAGCTGTTTGCCAATGAAGCAGCAGCGGAAAAGACATGCTCTGCAGTGGACTGACTGCAGCACTCAGCAGTGCCTGCTTGGCGCTCCACCTTGCGCGACGGGTCCCCTTGCGCAAATCTGCTCTTGGAATTTGCTGACCTTTGGGCAGCTTCATCGACGTGGCTCTTAGTTGTGTCTGTGGCCACGTCCTACATAGCAGAACAAGTAGGTTGTGCGGCGTGAACAGAAGGCAGGTTTTTGAGGACGTCGAACGTGATCATTGAATTGTTCAGCGCATGCAAAGGTACCAGTCTATCAGAAGATGACTCTGAGTTCTGAATAACATAACTAAACAAGGCAACACCATGCTCCACTTTCACAAATCTGCATGGAGAACGGAGCGAAGTGGCCAAAGTGTTCAAAACTAGATACTTTCTGCAAAGCCCTTTTGGGCACATTGCCGGTTCGGTGGCCAAATCGCAACATAACAACAAAACCGTGAGAGACCCCAGAAAGACTCTGTAGTCTAGAGGACATGTACACTACGCTTTGAGATTTGGGAGCCTTAGGGGTTAGCAAGCCATGTCCGCAGCAGATGCAGTGGGCCTGAAAGCTGGCAAGGACTACCCAGGTCCTTTTCACGGTCTCGTTTCAAGAAGTACCGGTGCATCATTCCGGGCCTGTGTTCGTGTACTGGCGGAACTCGAACCGGAATTTAGTCTTGGTGCTTGGGACATGTGCTTAAACTCGCAGGATGTACAATCCGCACCAGCCTTGCAAGCACGTAGAACCGAACGTTTCGGCCTGCTAACAAGCCCACGGCACGTGCTGATATTGCTACTTACATTGCTTCTATTGTATTGCGATCGTTTCTTCATTCATCTTGTTTGGCATTGTGGCGGTGCTCGTGACGAGGTGTGGGTGTCGGCGCCTTCGTGTTTGACGACCGTGGCAGAGAGACTTGTCCGAGCTGGCACTGAGCTGGTGCTTAAGAGACCTTTCCAACCAATATTCGATATTCGTTGAAGTAGTAATGCTGAGGTTTTTACATAGGGTTTGGGTATTCCTTGAAGCAGAAGTGGCAACCACATCTAGGTGTAGACATCCTGGCATATAAGACCCAATTCGCTTGCCGGGCACGTGTCGTATTGCTTGGAGACACTGAAGACTGCATAGTTTAGGGAGCCATTGCCTAGCCACGCCTCGCAACGACACACCCGCTGGATGTAAACAACCAGACCGTCTACAAGCAACCACATTTAGTTCTCCTCACTCTCGATTAGGTTCTGCTTGTCAAACGAAGTTCGACCTCTCGCGTGGCCCCTGGCACCTGGGCAAGGCAGGGCCGGATGCTTCCTTCTTCTCATCCTGGAATAGTCCACGGGAGCTGTGGTAGCACTTTCTATGATATGTTGAATGTTCTATACTTTGTATTTTGGCTGTTGAGGTCTAGATATTAGATGCTATTTGTCGTGAGCTGTAACGAAATGTTATATATGTGTATATCCTGGCATGATGTGAATTCCCATGCCCTCAGAGGCCGGGTGGTGCAGTCGAGCACGGGGAGTCCTGCGAAGCGGCCCTCATTCGCGAGCTTCGGCCCCTTAGTTGCCTCCTTTGGGGTTTCGGTGTTTTGGGTTTAGGGGTTTTGGGGTTTTGGGGTTTAGGGGTTTAGGGTTTCGGTGTTTAGGGATTTCGGGTTTAGGGGTTGCAAGGCTGCTGAAGGGGGCTTCGAGAGTCTGACTGATTCGGGGCCATTGGGTGAAAGTATTGGAGGTGGGAGACGGGGCGCATTTTTGTATTGAAAACTGTCCACCAGCCCCAATCCGAAACAGCGAAGCCTGATGCAAGTCGCAGGGAAGAGACGGGCCTGGACATTGTCGAACCGCAGCTCCTTGATGTGCGAGCCCCGTCATCTGTGGTTTGGATTCAGACATCAGGAGGAAGATCTATCGAGCTGCTGGGGGCAACATAGCAAGCGGAAGATCCTAGCCCATGATGAAGCCGATACCGTCATCCTACGTGTAGGAGGTCGAAAGTGAGCCATCTGAAGCAAGGAAGCAATATGTGTTGGGCCTGTAGTGACTCCAGTGCTGATCAATGCTGATCACTAAGGTCAGCTCCCAGATCTCTTCGTCGAGTCACTGGGTCTCCATAGGCACTAGGGATCTAACTTGTCCTGTAGCTCTGCAAATCTGCAAGTGGTCGCTGGCACAGTCCAGCTACTGTTCGATTAATGTTCCGTCTTTGGATGCTGGCCAGGATACATTGCGCAGCTGGCGCCCGGCTGCGCTGCCGAATCGGCCGTAAATCGCGAACCTGCCAGACGCTTTGTTTCCGCAAACTGCGAAAGCAAACATCAGATGCGGCGGTTGCACCTGATGCTCCAGCCTAGTCTGACCTGTTGCCTGACCGTGATATTTGTCTCAGAGCACTGAAGTAAAAGCTTACAGCTTCCGGCACGGCCTGAACCATCAGGCGAAACACGATGAGTTGGGATTCTTCGACCTGGAGGACAGATTCTCGTCTTAGTTTCTTCAGGCAGCCCCTCGCCCCCATCAGATCCAATCATTCACACCCCCGGGCAGACACGGCTGCAGGATCTGCCCACCCCTCTGGCCGACTTTACGGCCCCTGCGCTGGAGTCGCTGCGGGCAAAGCGTCGGCATCCAGCGGATGCACCGTGAGAAAAAAGCGCAGAATAGACGATTCGTTTGTCTGAGATGTTGCGCAGATTGATCGGAGCGGTATCCGCGCAACCTACCGCACAAGCCTTTGCCCGAAGAGGCAGCAGCTGCCACGACTTTGGGCCCTCAGGTGCTGGACGAGCCCGGGCCTTGTCTGTGGAAGCGCAGTTCAAGCCCCACGAAGGGCTTTGGGTAGAAAAAAAAGATGCTCCATGGTCATCACAGTCTGACATGCCTTTAGCCCAGCTCAGAATGAAGGTGCGTATTGCCATGAATGCTCTTGTTCTTATTCAATGCTGTTGTGGCACAACTTTGCCTAAAGACACAACCACCGCACCAGCTGTCAGCACGATGACTGCTGCTGCTCCTGCTCCGACGACGACGACGGCTGCCAGTACTGCAGCTGCTGTAACTGCTGCTACCGCTAATGCTGCCTCTGCTACTCACTAACACTCCCACTACTACTCGTCCTCCCTGCTACTACTGCTGCTGCTGCCACTGCTACTGCCGCACCACTGCTGCTGCTGCTGCTACTACTACTACTGCTACTGCTACTGCTACTGCTACTGCTACTAACTAGTACTACTACTACTACTACTACTACTACTACTACTACTACTACTACTACTACTACTGCTACTGCTACTACTGCTACTACTACTGGTGGCACGACGACTTCGACTGCGACCCAGTATTTGCCTTCTACCGACAATCTACTGCCGACGTACCACTTCTCAGTGATCAGTTTGCACTTACTACTGTGCTGCTTGCCACCCTGCATACCACGTGCTACTTACTACCACCTTGCTACTATCAGTATGAATCTTACCCTGGTTCTCAGGATCCGTATTCCGAGCAGCATTCCGGTAGTGCTGTTCTTATGCTTATAGCTGCTGTTGCTTCTGCCAGGAATCTAGAAGGTCGTTCTCTTTCACCGTCTGCAGTCAGTATAGCTGCATCGTTTGGAAAGAGGCCATCGCCGGCAATCCTTCGAATAGCGGGAGCGTTGGCCCGATGCTCGGAATGCTGGCCTTTGACCAGTGACTAGTGTTGTTTCCGGCACAGCAGATAGTCACCTTATTTCCTGTGATGTTTCTCCTACGAGGCGTTCTCTGCGTGTGTGTGTGTGTGTTGTTCTTTACTCATTGCTTTGTTTTTGCTGCTGTTCCTCTCAACGTCGTTGTGGTTGATGCCGGAACCAGGTGAGCTTGTGGTCGGCAGGATGATCGCGATGTCTGATTGTAGCGATTTCGCATGGTAGCAAATGCTGTAGTCGTTGCACTTAGACGCAAGCATGAAGGTATAATATAGCTGTACAGGCTGGCGTGCCATGTATGTGAAAGGTGCGGCTTTGGCACTCACGACCGGACCTGGACTTCGTGGTGAAGCTGGAGGACGTACTGCTTGCTGTTTGTAGGACGTAAGAGTGGTTGGTGTCACAGTGCAAAGAGCTCACCATGTCACAATATGTATTACGTCTTTGGGCACCGCTTTTCACTTCAACCAGCAAGTGATCAGGATTGCTTATCTCGCTTTTCTTGCTGCTGCATCCTATGCAATTGCCGTTGGGTTGTTTTCGCAGCTTCATGGTTGAACTGCCAGCTACTGCACCTTACAGGCGCAACTGGAGGGATGGTCGCATAGGAAAGCTTTCCATTCAGCGATAACGACTCCAGGCAGCTCTGCCAAAAAATGTCAGCCTATGCTTGGTTGGGCAATTCTTTGTACTCATGCCAGCAGTGCAGTTGTCATGTTTGTCACTAGCATCGTCATCGAAAGCATCGACATCATGGCCAGTGGCAAAACATTCGGCATACCGTGCACTCTCATCCTTAGCATCATAACCGATTCATACACTTGTTCATACCCAGTGTTTCAGTCGACAGTAATACCAATAATTCCAATGCTATCATCACAACCAACTGCACTTGGTTTATCATGCATAACATTCTGAAGACACCTCAACCCTCAAGCTTACATTCCCCAGCATGTCCAATCGCGCAGGATGCAGTCACGCTTCCTCTCGTTCCATTTTTCGACAAGGCCTTGGTCGGCTGCGTTCAAAGACACCCATACGAACACGCGAAGCCAAACCCTGGTGCAAATGCTTTCGCAATGGCATTTGCCCAGCTGTTTGCTCTAAGGCCACTTTGGTATCATCGGCAGAAAAAGATGCTGGTTATGAACTAGTATTCGTAGGTGCTGCCAGTTTCGTGCAATGCTTCTGACTTTAACATGAATAGACAGGCACCATCATCCTTTTCGAAGTTACATGCTATTCCGACTGCACTTGTTACTTTTCATGGATGGTGTTGGCAGCTGCTAACCAGTACAATTTGATCAGTACTGCTTCAACAAAATCGACCAGAGAGGGGAGGCAGAGGGATCGCGGTGAGTGCGCGTATGGATGCAGACGCGTGAGGTTGTGGAGCACGCTGACGAGTCGCTGCTGTCGGGGCCTCGTGTGAGTCTGAGCATGCTGCATGCTCTGCAATGAATCCTTCGGGTTCCTGTGTTGGGCGGGGTCGAGCGCGCCAGGGAGGGGTGTCGCTTTCGAGGTTAGACAACCATCGTGACATGAAGCACTATGAAGTCAAGTTTCGACTTAGATAGCTCTATTCAGCTACAGTGGCATCACTGTACAAAAGGAAGACTGTGCACCTTTTGCAGTGAGCGGCACTGTACCGAAGTAGCACCTGTTGTTCAGGCGGCTGTCAGGCAGAACTGCAAGCCTTTCGCAAAAAGTACCAGTTTTCGTAGAAAGCTCCAGCCATGCGCATCCTCGGAAAGAAACTCGAACCTAAGTCGGAGAGAGCCTCATGCGTTTCTTTTGACACTGAGGATGGGCTGGATCGTTGAGGATTTTCCAGTGTCTGTGCGCAGTAGCACTGCTGACGAGGTTCCTTCGTTTGCACCCACTGGCACCTGCGGTGGCTTAGCAAGGGGCTTTTAAACGAATTGTCCATTGCCGCTGTACCCGGCACGTCAACAGCTATTCAGCGACCGATTGTAAACTCAGCAACAGGGTCCCTTCTGACAAAGCTCAAGTGATGCGTATCACATCGGTCCTCAAAAAGCAGGGAGGATCCGATGCAAGACTATACACGTGACTGCTCGCTTGCACACTTGATCACGGCTCGCGATTCATTGTCGTCTGGGCATTTTGAACTAAGACTCAGACTAATCCGTACTGATAGATGCTTTGTAACTGAGTCCGGCTTTCCTAATTGGGGTTGGCCTGCGTCGTGCATGCTCTCACTTCGGGATGCATGTAGGTCACTGCAACCAAAGTCGATTGTGCATGACGGTTCAATTTTGTTGAAGCCTCGAGCTTTACATCCAGCTTAAGACTTGTGGCAAGACCCCAGTCGAAGCTCCGGAACTGGTGGGGACGCCGCCAACTTCCCAGTTTTTGCAACTGGAACCTACAATTGCCGTATATTGTTCGTAGAAGTGAGATACTGCCAAATCAAAGCCCCAGCAACTGTGGGCACTGCTTTGACTTCAAGCATGTGTTCTACTCTGTGGTTCCGTAGAACATGCTTGCCTGGAAGGCTTGCGAAACCTGCCCCGTCCCTGCGGCCGCCGAGCGGTTTTGCCTGCGACTCAAAGATCAGCAAAAGCCAGCGTGCACTGATGCAAGCTATAAGGAACGCGGGTTGCACGCCTGCCTTCTTGCACAGAGCGCTGGTAGCCGTGCGCCTTGAGAGACGCTTGTTCCCAGCTGATCCGTGTACAAGTACCTTCATCTCAAGTCGGCACATACCCCGAAGCAGTCTTTTCGGACACGTTTCGCTCACAACAGTTGCTAAACGCAAACGCGCGCGCGCGCGTGAAGCGGGGAAGCGGCCTTGCAGAAGCAGCGCACTCTCGGACCTGAGGCCAGGAGATGATACGAGTCTCCATGTCAGGCGCATGCCGGAGTTTTGGGGCCTGTGCGATGTGTGGAAGTCCTTGTTGGCACCAGGGTCTCAGCGTAACACGAAAATAAGGAATAGTAGGATCCTGATTATGAGGACCCCAAATAAGGTACCCCTCGGCACCTGCAAGCTGCATGAGCAGGCATGGATTTTCGCGGCTGCTTGCGTGTTGCGAGCGAGCTCCTGGGCTGCAACTTACCTTGCAAACCTAGAAGCCTCCGTCGTTGACACGCCATTCCCCAACTACCAGCAAAAAAACATTTGGACATCTATAATTGCACAGGACCGGTCTCAAAAACGCTCAAAGCCACCGCTGTGAGGTGCTGCAACAGCAGCCAGGAGCTTGGAACTTCCGCAGCCTTTGCACAGGTCGGTTCATGGCCATCCCTCCAAATCACATGCCTGAGCCATCCCTGCAGATCAGCTGTATCAGAGCTAAACCCCCATCATCCCGGAGTCATCTAATCATCTGCAAGGCAAAAGCCCCCAGCCCAGGCGGCTGCGACGAGGCCCAACTCCTCGACTGCACGTCGGCAGCGCGCGCCGCCGGCACGGGCGCCAAAAGAAGCTGACATCCGCTTCACCATTCAAAAATATAGAGGGCCCGTCTGATCTCCTCTGCTCACCGTTAATATCATCTCGTCCTGAGGAGCCGAATCCCCTCCCGACCATGTGTCTCACTGGAGTTCACTGAGGCTCTGAGTCAGTTCTCTACTACGGGACGGTGCGGCGCTCGGCATTGCATGATACCGCTGTGATTCGTGGTACTGGCAGTGCTCTTTCTGAGATGGCCCAAGGTTTACTTTACTTCTTGAACGCTTCAATCTCTTTCGGAATCCTTAACCGAGCTTGATTCAGCATGGCGCGATGAAGCAGCCATGGCCCGAATGGAGAAGCTGCGGCAGCCCCACCACGGTTTGGCAAGCCACTCCCACAATGTAATGAAGCCACCGATGTCCAATTCCACACGTTTCTTCCATTCAAGCTTTGAGATGCGGCTCCAATGCCTGGTCAGCCAGTGTCACGCATACCAAGAGAAGATAAGCCGGTACCGCATCCATCTATCTGCCTACACTATCTGTTTATCTATCTACCAGTCTACCTATCTACCACCATCTACCTATCTATCGATCTATCATGATCTATCTATCTGTCTGACCTACCTATTTACAGATGTATGTAGCACACAGACACACACACACTCACACACACGAATGTGTGCGTACGTGTTCTCGTGATGTTTTACATCAGTTTCCCTCATAGCACCGATCTGCAATGCAAGAGCTTCATATTCCTAAGGCGTTCGCGCCCCCCTTCCCGCTCTCTGCAGCGTGGGCCCTCGGTGCGGGGCTCAGATCCACCGGTTCACGCGATGGACTCGAGCTTCTAGGAAACATGGGACATGTTCCAACCAAGATAATGTAGTGACCGCAAAACTAGGGCACAGAAGGGCATAAGTACATGTTTTTGTCTACATGCAAATGTGTAGGTTAACAGGTTACATGTGTGCTGGTATGCATGTGTAAAGAAGTAAAGTACTTACATGTATGGACGGGGGAGAGAGATCATGTATATGACTCGATGTGAAACGATTCGCACGTACATATGTATGTATGTCTATATACATACATACATACATACATACATACATACATATATATATATATATGTATGTATGTATGTATGTCTGTATGTCTGTGTGTATGTACGTATGTATGCGCGTGCACATCTATGTGCATTAAGATGGTTTGAAAGCTGCAGACATGGTTAATATACATGACGATATACAGTTTTTTTAGCTGCCTCCTGCTTCGGGGTCTTCTGGCGTGTCCCATTAAGATGCTCACCCCGTGGGCCGACGTGCTTGTGCACAGCCCACCGACCGACTTGGTCTTGCGACGAAGCCTGAAGCAAACCAGCAGGAGGTTGTTTTAGGGCATTGGCGTTTTGAGAGCCCCTTTTCAAACATGCCAAAGCACACAGACTCGACGACTAAACATTCCACGGGCATTGACAAGGACGGAGGCCCTTGGAGTTTGCCTGGAGCTCGGTTCCTTTGGCTGCGGCTCGGAAACTTCCTGCATGTTGCGGTTGGGAGACTTGTCTTGTTGCGCTCCTCGCTTCTCGACTTGATCTCGAGTTCTGTAGCTTGACAGGGACTTAAAGACTTAAAGGTGACTGGGAGCAGTGGCGCAGCTCGAGAAGCTAAGAGGTTTTGGCGCCATGTCAGCCCATGACCCCATCTCGGTGGCACTTGGTGCTCTTCGGATTGGACTGTTCGGGGTGCTGCGGGCGTGGGCCTCAATTTTGGCTCTGATCCTCAAGTGTGTGCTTCTTTCCTCACCTTCCTCACAAGCATCATGCAAGCCCTAGGTGTAGTGCCTACAATCCCCCCCCCAAGGGGAAGATGTTTCCACGCTGCACCTAATCAGGTTGTTGACAACATCGACGACCTGAAGATGAGGGGAGAGGCAAAAAGCTTACGTGCCAAGTCCACACGACAGTTCGAGTCGCAGCGAGTCTGCCTCTTTCAGCACTCTCACAGAAGCTCTGGCTCCACATGTGGATAGGTGGTGCAGAGAGAGAAAACCGTCTTGGATGCCAGGTGGCGGAAGCCTTGCTCGGCTTTTGGCTTGCTGGTCTCGAGGACGGGCAGCTCAACAAGCCTTGGGCCAGAGCCCGGTTCAGATCGAATGTTTGGCTCTCGCGTAGCAATGCAGGCCGCGGCAAGCACTGTTGCTCTCTCAGGGATTAGGTTGATCAGCGGCACTCATTGCCAACTCCCCGATCAATCTCATCAAACGGGCAAGAAAGAAAGCCAAACACAAGCCAGATTTTGAAGGAGTACCTCAGAACATTTGTGATTACTATCTCGCAGCATCCCAGACTGCGATATTGCTGCCGCTCCCATCAAATACTACCACCACACGCTGCGGGTACTCGGCCAGATTTGAAGGAAGTGTTTAGGCTTTGGGGTCTTGCACTGCGTAATTGATGCATCAGTGTCGTAAGTTGCAGCTTCCTTCCAGGATTTGAAGATCGTGGACCTGTCTCAGGACGTCTTAGCAGATGCGAAAAGATTTCTGTATGTGCATATGAGCGACCGCGGTTATTTGGTCTTATTGTGTTCAGAGTACACACGGACAGGATAATGCCGGTTTTGCCAGCATTACTTGGGGAACGAATTGGGCCCGCAGCTAAAACGAGATGGTTAAAAAATGTACATACGGTACACCTTCATAGTTACTAAACGATATCATTCATAATTATGTGCTTGCTAACATGGATACTAATTAAAAAGTATAACTCTGTGTGTGTAAATTCTACCGCTACGCGGCCCGCCTCGGCTGGCGGCTCCAGTAGTGCCAGCAGCGGCGCCCAGGGCAGGAAGGGGAAAGGAGAACCGAAAAGGGGAAGAGCAATGGAAAAAACACGCGAGCGAAAGCAGCGGGAAGATGGAAAAGGCGGGAAGATGGAAAAGTGGCGGGGGAAGATTGAAAGGTTGTAAAAGATGGACAAAGAAAAAGAAGAAGTGGGGCAGAAGGAAGGGGAGCAAGGGGAAGGAGGGAGCTTGAGGCAGGAAAGCAGCGGGAAGATGGAAAAAGGAGAAAAGGGCAAGGACGGTCAGAAGCAGTTGGAGCAGCAAAACAGGAAAACGAAGGAACTTCAACGAGGAAGCAAGGACACCAAAGGAGAAAAACATTGAAGAAACAAGCACGCGAACGAAGCACAGGAAGGAAGGACGGAAAGTGTAGAAGGACACGGGGGGCAAAAGTGAGAGCAGGGCAGGAACAAAACAGGAAAACGAAGGAACGTCAACAAGGAAGCAAGGAAACCAAAGGGGAAAGACACTGGAAGGAACAAGCACGCGAACGAAGCACAGGAAGGAAGGATGGAAAGTGTAGAAGGACGCGGGGGGAGGGAAGGGCAAAAATGAGAATAGGGCAGGAAGGGAAAGGAGAACCGAAGGAGAAGAGCAATGGAAAAAACCCGCGCGCGAAA